TTTTCTGTAAACTTTGTTCAGCTCAGTCGTTTCAGTTTCTGTTGTGGTCTGAATTCTATTCAAACTAGCAGTTGTTTTTAGTTTGCTGAGCTCGTTTTAATGCTTTTGTATTTATTTGGAAGGTCGAAAAAATGATAAAAAAAATAATATACAACCATATGCTAACATACTGTCATTAAAAGGCTGTACTACTGTTACCATTATTTTTGGTGTTCACTATTGAAATAGCTTTAAATTAGCTGAAGAATGCAGACTGACTCGTTTAGGACTCGAAGACTAGGATTTAGGACTTGAGGCTTGCCTGTGCTGACTTGAATCAAGACTCGGCTGTTTTGACTTGAGACTTGATTCGGGACTCAAGTGTCAAGACTTGAGACTTGCTTGTTACTTGCAACCTAGTGACTTGTTCCCAAGTACAAGCAAACATTCTGATGTGGAGCCATACCTCTCTTCATACTACAACCTATAATGCAACATGGAAAAGCAGCTTGTAGCAGTTGCTGATTGGAGAACAAAGAAAAGGAAGCGGGTCATTGCTGTGATCTGATTGGCTCAGCTCCTGATGTTAGTAGAATCTAGTCAAGCCTTTGCCCTGTAGCACTGTGAGATGCTAGATCAGGGGTGTCCAATCTTATCTGCAAAGGGCTGGTGTGGCTGCAGGTTTTCATTGCAACAAAGCAGGAGCTCACATGATCAGTTGTTTAAAGACAGACCGACTGATTAAACAAGTGAAATCAGGTATGTTCTTGTTTGGAACGAAAACCTGCACCCACACCAGCACTTTGTGGATAAGATTGGACACCCCTGTACTAGATACAATACCAAACACTGATACAAAGAGTAGCATGCATTGTATTGTATCTACTCATGCAGTATACAGTATACAGTACACAGTGTGCTATTTGACCACAGCCATGGAGAGTCCAGTAGCTACTTTTCAGGAGCAAAAAATCAAATTTGTAGGAAGTAAAGGCTTCATAACAGCAAAAAGCAATGTTGTCACTGTTGTCAATGTATTAACTGTGGTGTTTTTGCTGTCGTAATAACAGCTTTATATTTCTCTTCTTGAACTTCTTGTTCCTCCACTGAAAAATTATCATTTTCACTTGATTGGCTGTTTGACCCAAACATCATAAAGGGGTTGGTAAAGGAAAATTCCACTGAATTCCATCTGAAAAAAGTTTTTTGCTATTTTTGCTATTTTTCCTTCCTGCTTGTACCGCTTCACCACAAATGGATTAAAAAAGTCAGAACCTCATCTCAAAACTCTGTTGACCAATATCTCACGCAGCAGGTGACATATTTGTAACCATTTTGTGTTAGAACTTTGTGATGAAGCTTTTAATGCAGGGGATCCAGTCCCAGTCCTGGGGAACCACACTGTGCACATTGTGGTGCCTTCCTCCTTCAAATACATCTGATTAAGCTCATAAACTAGTTAACAAGCTCCTGATGTGCTAGGCCAGATGTGGTAGAGACCAGAAAACAAAAATGTACAGAGCATTTGATCCCCAGGACTGAGTTTGGGAACCCTTGTTTTAGAGGCATTAAAAGCCTGATAGGTTTTGCAAGAACAGCACATTTCATACCAAACCACTCTGAATGACTTTGTTTACATCTTAACCATTTGACTGTGCAGAAATTTGAAAAATCTGTGGAATTTTCTTTAAGTGGTTGCTGTGGCATTCTTTTTTTATTATGTTAATTGCATGTGTAGTATAAAAAATGATGTCGTTGATGACTTCCAGCAAGTCACAAAGAAAACAAAGTGATCTAAAAAAGATCTGAGTGTGGAGGCAGGGGGATGGGGGGGGCTACACCTCCCTCAGAAGTTCGCCCTTATTGGCCTAAAAGCTGTTTATGGTGAGTAATCATGAACTTAACCTGCCCCACAGTAGGTTAGGTGTTTAGCATAGGTTGCCATGGCGATGTATCCCATAAAAAGTAAAAGAAATCCAGGGTTACATTAAAGTTTAAAGTTAACTGACTAAGCAAGAAATCCTGCCTAATGAGCCAGGCCACTGGACCACAGTTTTTCCAAACATGTGGTTTTATAACATCAGTTCAACAATTATTTTTTACATGTTTTTCTAATTTTTTAATATAGTAATTTTAGGGTGTTTTTTGGATTGTTGGCTAGCTAAAAACATGATCTAGACCAAGGGCGGTGATTTTGCTGCTCTTACCATGTAAAATAAACCCTTCAAATGATGAGTTGAATCAAGTGTGTTTAAGTAGGAAAATCACCAAACTGTGCTGGACTCCAGTCCTCCAGGACTTGAGTTCGCCACCCCTGATCTCAACACTGATAGAAATCCAACAGCTCTGTGTTAAGTGACAGAAGAATTACTGCTGACCTAAAGCACTTCTGGGACACTAGGTGGCTAAAGTCTATGGCAGCATATCAGTATCAGAATTAAAATGAAAATGTAATCTGTAAAATGGCAATGGCCTTTGGTGGCCTTTTGGTGGACCATTATTGATTTTTATTATTTATTATTGATTGATTTTATTTACACAGAGATTTAGGTGCTTTATGAGTTTTTATTTAAATTAAAATGTACTTCTGTACAAATCACATAGCATATTAGCAGATGAGCTGATGGCAGAGCAATATATCCATCTCTGATGCTCACTTTGTAGAAGATATGCCTGCATGGCATCAACTAGAATCTCTATGTCTGGCCTCACTTTTAGCCACTGTTCCCAGTTTATGAAGTGAAACTGAAGTTTCTTTTTTTTGAGTTTTCCATTCCATCTTAAATGGAGCTGCAGTAACATTCGGGCGCATTGAGGCACCAGAATGTAACTCCTGCACTGTTTAAGGTTAACTGGAAAATTTAAAAAATAGAAGCTGGCCGAGAAGGAAGTCAAGTTCAGCCTCGTATTTATCAGTTACATTGAAAAACCAGATTAACTGTTCAATGAAACTCTTTCTCATGGGGTTTTGTATAAAGCCTCACAAGTGGCTACATTTCTCTTCTTCACCTCATCTGCTAATGTATGAGTAGCTATGAACTCTTTGGCCTCCATATTTTAAGATAAAACCTTTTCCGCTGATCATGCTGTTGGCCCTGCCCTGACGGCATGAGTGACAGTTTGGGAAGAAGACCATGAAAATGAAAATGCAATCTGGTCAAATGCTTTTTCAAAGGCATTTTGACACAGAATGACTGCAGTAGGCGAAAAATATGTAATTGCAAAGAGGTTTCCCATTTACGTCTTTACGTCGGAATTTAGCCATATTTCTAGCTTGGTCTTCTCTTTGATAAGCAATTTAAATGCATTATTTGAGAGTGAAAATGCATGTAGGGTAAATGACATTTTAATTATCATTTTGCTACAATTATTGCATAATCACATTAAGCATAAATATGCAATTCTAGAAATACATTTTAATTTAAAAAGCTACGCATAAAGCATCTAAATCTCTTTGTAAATGAAATGTCAATAATACTATACCAAATGGCAAATTAAAATTGCAGTATTAAATTTGAATTTTCATTTTGAGCTCAATGTTGCCTATGAGTGGGAAATGTAAATGCAAACATACAAATGAACTGCCATTTTACATATTACACTTTCATTTTAATTTTCATACTGATATACTTCCATAAGCATTAAGTGTTCTGTAAGGATATGTAAATAACAACGTTAGCTAATCTAGCTAATTTACATCTGTCACTCTCTGGCCTTGTTACTGCCAAGAGCTCAGAGGCTCCAAACCAGATGTAGCTCAAAGGATCTTTTCTTCTCTCTCATTTTATTTGTTGGCCCAGATATTTTAGAACCAAGTGGTTTTCTTGAGGACATAGTTGTAATGTAATGTAGAACTAAGCTGTGCTGGACAAACTGTTGCAAAAATTTTTGGGCTCAAACCTCATGCTGTCTTTGCCCTGTGTGTACATCCTGCAGCACGTCTGTTTCAGGCCAATATTTATTTGTTTTTGGCAAATGCACTACAAAAGTATGTGGACGTCCAAACATCCTAAACCATGGGCATTAATGTGGAGTTGGCCCCCCGTTGCTGCTACCACATCCACTCTTCTGGGACGGCTTTCTACTAGATTTTGGAACATGGCTGTGGGGTTTGCTTCTAGTGGTTATTAGTGCAGGCTAGTGAAGTTCTTCCAAACAAATGGACCACAGGGGGCTCTGTCATGAAACAGGAAAGGGCCTTTGAAGCATACAGTTCTCTAGAATGTTACTGTATGGTGTAGCATTAAGATTTCCTTTCACTAGAACAAAGCAGCCCAAACCATGAAAAACAGCTTCAGACCATTAACCCTCCTCCTAAGCTCTGCATTCGGGTGTACTGTTCTCCTGGGATCCTCCACACCCAGACCTGTCCGTCAGACTGTAACTGAAGCGTGATTAATCGCTCTAGAGAACGCATTTCAACTGATCTAGAGTCCAATGGCAGTGTGGTTTACACCACTCCAGCTGATACTTGGCATTGTGCATGGTAATCATGCGCTTTTGTGCAGCTGCTCAGCCATGAAGCTCCTGACGAACAGTTCTTGGGCTGATGTTCTGCGAGCTTGTGCGGCCTACTGCTCTCAGCTGAGCTGTTTTTGCTTCTCAGTTCACCAGCTGGTTCTGTTCTACATTACTGAAGAGTAGAAACCTTCCTAAATGGTCTTCAGCCTGAGGTTGGGAAAGCTAACCTAAGCAATAAGCTGTATTAACAGTTATGTATAAATATTTTACATTATAGATAAACTACAATGAATTCCTGACACTGTTGTGTTTACGTTTTTGTAACATTACTGTTTTTTCTACAGATGTTAATGATCTTTGACCTTCACTCACATCAAGTATGTTCATCTGGAGTCTTGATCTTAAATTGTGGGTGTATGTGTACATCATAAGGTAATAAAACACTATTGCTGTAATATGATTTCATAGTTGCTGTTTCCCCTTTAATTGTTATTAAATGAGAAACTGAATTAATTTATGAATTTATTTAATTGAAATTAAAGGAGAAACCTCAGTGACTAAGCAGACTCTTTGGGTACATGCACCACATATATCCTGCATATTCTCTGCAAAAGGAATGCATAGTATATGTGCAAAGCACCTATAGTGTATTTGATAATGGAGGCACATATTTTTAATGTAACTTTGGTTGTCAGAGGAAGCAGTCACTGAAAGTGTCTCGTTTGACAGTGTAAAAAAAAACAACCCTAAGAGGTCCCTGGAGTAATAGAAAATCTGGTAATGCACTGCGGTCATTTTAGATCAGATCAGCAATGCTTTCCATTACCAAACACTGGTCTACATTTACATTACATCACAAATCAAAGTTTCTCACATTGTCCATTTCCTCCAGGGGAAAAAAAAGCCCATTTGTGACAAACCTAATTGTACACTGGATTGCATTTGCCCTAATGTGTTCCATGGAGGGGCTGTCAGTTCTCAGCAAAAGTCTGAACAAGGAGACATGATCCATTGGGAGGGGCCCTGCCACCATGTCAGCAGTCAATTCAATGCTACTAACAGCAGCAAAGCACAAGGAATAGCAATTGGTACAATTCCAAAAATGTTTGTCTTATGTTTGTTTATGGCCTGGTGGAACATGTGCTTCTGATTCAGCAGGAATATTTTTTGATTTGGTTTATTAAACACTGGGGGTCTGTTTCTATGGCAAGGATTACATCTGGTCTAAACTTCAATGCTAATAGTGAATCGCTACTGGAGATCTTGGAAGTTTACGCTTAGGCTTAATCTGCGACTGGGAAACTGGCCCTAAATCTTGTTTTGAGTTTGCATTGTGCAAGTGAATGTAAGTACATTTTCACTGGTCCAGCAAACACAATCTGAACATCCTTTAAGAACGACTTGTGCCACCAGCAAATCTGTGTGCTCTTTACCAGCGAATTCAAGCAGTGATTGTGATTCATCATGTTACTCTGGGTGAAATCTGTGAATGACTTACAGTGGGAGGAGCATATTTTTTCTAGAACATTCTGGGCAATTTGTTTAATCAGTATCTCCTGATATAGCTGCATGTGGACAGAACCTCTTAGCTTTGATAATTAGGCCATGATTTCGAATCATTAGCAATAGCAAAGATCGTTAAGATGAAGATCAGTATGGCAAACTGTTTTGACCATACTTGGAATGGAATGAGGTTGGGCAGAATGAGTAAGGATAAAAAAATGTATTTGCAGTGCAAAGGGCTTAGGTTGACATCATTGAGACGTGTTCCTCAATGCTGGTTGTCTGTATCAGTAAGGGGCGGGGCCAAGGGGTTGATTGGCAGTCAGGGCCCTGTTACACTTCAAAGCTGATCTCTCGGGAGCGGCTGAAGAGCGGCTCGGTGGGCAGCAGAGTGTCCGAGTAGCTGCGTCTTAGGTGCGTGGAGCTGCATGTGGTTTTGATGGCTACTTCATAAGGAGGCGGTGGCTCCATCTCCCAGTGGGGGGGCTGTCCTCGACCAGACGGACTGAAGCAAGTGGTCTCCATGGGAGGGTAGTCAAAGTCTTCATTGTACATCCCTCGTCTGTGCCTCTCCAGAGTTCTTAGTGAACACACAAACACACAATGTATATGTATAGAGTCCGTTTTTTCGAATACTAAAAACTAAAAATTGACCTTCTCACAGCTCATTTTCCAAGTTTTGATCTTTGCAAAAGAGGTTCTTAGCTACATTGAGGTATGCTACTAGTTAAAACAATTAAAACACATTGTCGTTGTTGGGACAAAACTTAAATCTTCTTTTTTTTCCTTTTTTCCCCTCTCAATTAAATGATTAATAACTTCCAGCTGCCATTTGCGACATTTTCATAATGATAGGACCAATATGAATGGCCCAAAATTATACTGAATTTTTTTTTCTTCCCTGAATTCTTACCATTGTGGAGATACACAATTTTTTTTCATATGCCGTCTTTTTCAAAAGCTATAATTCACTAATAACATGGTTTTGTGACTAGAAAATGTAATAGAAAATTTTTTTACCTTTACATTGGGACATTAAATGCCACTTCATAATTTAGAATGTGAGGCAGTTTGCTTGGCCCAAATAAAACTCCTTAGAAGAATGAGCTGAAGGTTGAAACTGCATAGAAATGCCCAGACTTTGTACCACAAGGGGGCATCACTAGGCAACTTAAATTGAGGCAGCATTTAGAAGCTCACCTTAGAGTACATACTTCATGTTGTATTTGCTTTTCCACTGAGTGAATTATACTCCTACAAATAATTGTGTTTAATGACTCCCATAATCCTCTGTAGATCTGTCAGCTGTGCATGTGTGTTTAGCCAGTGTACCTAGTTTGTGTGCATTCATGTGTGTGGGGGGGGGGTAAACTGGTAAACTGGTAAACTGATAAACTGACACCTCATCTATCCTTATAAGTGTATATTAGATGCATTCAACTGGCTGCTGCTCAGAGCTGGATTATAAATATTATTTTTCCATTCTTCATAAATACACATTAATATGTCGAGTTGCTCAATCACATTAAGGGGATAGTTTGGCACAAAATCAAATTTACATAGATTTCCCCTTACCCCAAATGAAGTCCACCAAGACATGTTTAGTTTCGGCTGACACTGTATTATTTGCCAATCTACTGTCAATAAGGAGGTGAATAAGACTGCACACAGCAAAATTCTCACTGGTAAATGAACTCATTCTGTGTTGAATTAACACCCAGTCTGGGCACAAATGAACAGAGAGACTGAAGTGTTAATTCATCACTGAATCAGATTTTGCTGTCCGCTTTCCTAAACACACCAATTATCGAATCAATTTTGTTGCTTTTACATTTTTGCATTACTGTGGAAATCACAAGAATTATGTCTCTACATCATTATGTCACATTATAGAAACCCTGTCCAGACAGTTCGGACCTGTACTTGAAATCGGTGTCCTTTTGCACATCATGCTGTGTGTGTAATGAACCATACAGTAACAGTGAGAGTGACTCAACATAAAGAGAAATAAATAGAAACAGCCACACTTACACAAATCACAACAGGGGAAAAATGAACAAATTAATTAAAAACTACAGATTTGTTTTCAAAGGGGACTTATATCTACAGACTGAGACAATTTAAAAATCTTATCCATACAATATTATGAATAGTATTGTAAGAAACCTTCTTTTGTGGAACAGTGCAGGGGTGGCAAACTCCAGTCCTGGCGGCCGGAGTCCAGAACAGTTTGGTGATTTTCCTACATTTTGACTGATTCATCTCATCAGTTAACTCTAGGGTTTAGTTGACATGTTAAGGGCAGGAATGTCATCCAACTTTGCTGGACCCTGGCCCTCCAGGACTGCAGGTTGCCACCACTGAACTAATGGTCCACTGAAAAACCTAATTTATGCCTTTTCCTACTCAGTCAAATGTGGTCAATCAGTATATGTGAGGCAAATCCATATTCAAAGGTAATATATTTCATATACATTTCAAAATGTTTATCAACTCTGTAATATATTTTTCCAAATGTTTGCCATATATATTTTACAAAGCGACACTAATACATATTTTTCATCTACACGTGTATACATTTAAATATTCACAAATGGCACAGTTAAATATATTTAGCACCTACATTTTAAAGCATCAAATATATTGCCTATATATTTTAATGAGTACATATGTGTATATCTGTTTTTCTTCCATATGGGAATCTGAAGTCTATGCTGCCTAAAAGGCTTTTGGGTTTCTATTATATTCTACTTTATTAGACTATTATATTCTATTATATTAGACTAAAGAAGTAAATTTCCACTTTTGGGGAAACTGTACTTTTTTGGTGAACCAGTCCTTTAAGAATGAACTCTAAAACGGCATAAAGGTGAACTAATGCCAGAGGTAGAATGAACTGCCACATGCTTCTGCTAAACCTGTGCAGAGTCTCAACCATGAACTTTTTACCTGTTCAGAAAGACGGACTGTGACTCAGGGAAGCGGCTCCCGGGCGGCGGGGTGAAGAGGACATGGCTGTAGTCGTGTGTATAGTCGGCAGTGTAGGTGACGGGGTTGCTTTTGCCGTTCATGGCCCAGAAGAGCCCCAGGATGAGCATGACGGCTCCCAGCACCACGCAGCACAGGCTGAACGCCTGCAGTCTGCTCTGGCTGGACGTGAGGAAGGCGGTGGAGCCGCCGGTGACGATGAGAAAGACGCCGATGAAAACGGCCCCGTGGTGGAGGGAAGGCATGGCGAGACTCCGCCGACACACACGCCGCTCACCAGCTCACTAGAGTCGCTGAGAGAGAGTGAGAGAGAGAGAGAGAGACACACACAGAGAGAGAGAGAGAGATGCCCTGGCAGCGCAAGTTTCTTTAAAAGTCGCAAACTCCATTCACTGAAGGAGAAGCGTGGTTTGCAGTATAGTTCAATCTACTGCAGAGCGCGTCTGTTATATCTTTAGACTCAAGAATATTCTTGTGGCATGTTCGGTCAAATCCATTGATTGTCTTGATTTGACGTGAAAAATCGCAGCGTTTGAACGGCTCCATGCTTCCTCGTCGACTCCACCTTTAACTGCTGTAAAAACAGCTGAAAGTCAGTTCATGTGCCATTGAAGTCCTAGTTGAGTGCATAGGAGCTTCAGTAGCTGCCGTCCGCTTTCCTCTCAAAGTGAGCTGAACGCATCCACACACTCGCCCCACCCAGCAGTCGTAGACTGAGCCGCGCTCCCAGACGGAGACTGAGACGCTGCCATTACCGCCATTGATTAATACTGATCAAACCCACAGGGGCTCAATTTGAATGAACTGGTTTGTCTTGCAAAATCTCGATCACAACAGAGACTCGGAATCCATATTAATGATTACGTAACGTGTGAAAGAATGGTGGATAACTTGTTTTATTATATGAATGACTGGGCGTTAAGCTGTCGCTTTAAGAGTTTGGGGATCCCGCTGGTTGATGTCCTGCCTCCGTTTACAGGGTGAATGCTAATGAGCACGCCCGACTCAGTCAATGGTGTGACGGTCTTCCCTCTTTCTGATTGGGTAAAAAGTCTCCACGCAACAACTGGAGTCGACAGAATTGACGCGCCACTGGCCAATCAGCGCTGAGTAGGGGCGGGGCTAACTGGGCCACCTAGACAGGTTCTTGAAACTAAACCTCATGCAAAATAAAATTAAGGTGACAAAATTTGCGGTTGCACGGTGTTAAGCAGGGGAAAGGTTTTTTTTTTTAAGTAAGGCAGATTATATGCAAGAATTACGTTTTAACGTTTAATTCGACAACGGTATCACCGTTCAAGGGACGTCAGAAAAAAAACATACTTTTTTGTACTTTGAGGGAAAAAGGAAAAGGAAGGAAGGAGTTGGAATGGATCCGCTGCTGTATCTCGGAGTTTTGGTTATTCTGTTTCTGTTATGGATCAAAGTCAAAGGTCTAGATTATGTTATAATTCACCAGCGCTGGATCTTCGTCTGCCTGTTTCTCCTGCCGTTATCCGTCATTTTTGATGTGTACTACTATGTGCGAGCCTGGATCATCTTCAAGATGTGCTCTGCGCCAAAGCTGCACGACCAGAGGGTCAGAGAAATTCAGAGGCAGGTGAGTAGATCTGGACATTTGCACAAGTCGTGGTTCTCTAGCCACGTGCGCTGCAGGTCACTCTAATCTCAGAGCCCCTGTCTGTGTATTTAAGTCTCACCTAGTGTGGGCTCACTGGTGGGATCTCCTCAGGGGAAATGGCCATTCCTAATCCATCTCTTCCAGAAGGGATTTCAGGAGAAAGGGAGAAAAAGAAAATAGGAGCACGCTGCACAGGCTGTGGCTATTCCTGGCTGGGATGTCCAGTCAGTTGGCTGTCCCTGTCGGCTTCTGTATGCTGTGTTTTTCTTTGTAAATCTTTCTGTCTGCTTGGATCTACATTCCTCCATGAAGGTCCTGACTGGAGTGACGTAGTTGGAGCTCCTCCCTCCAGATCCCCCTCCAGTTCAGGGTTTCCCAACTCCAATGCTGGAAGTCCCTCTTGCACTGCACAGTTTTATGCTTGGCCTGCTCCAAAACCCCTAAATCATGACTGAACGAGTGGAAGGACAAACATGAAACTATGCAGTGCAGATGGGCCTCCTGTGCTTGAAATGGGAAACACTTTTCTAATATACACTGATCAGCCATAACATTAAGACCACCTCCTAATCCAGCAGCACTGCTGTGTCTGATACACTCATACCAGCTCAACACACACTAACACACCACCACCACGTCAGTGATGCTGCAGTGCTGAGAATGATCCACCACCCAAATAATACCTGCTGTGTGGTGGTCCTGTGGAGGTTCTGACTATTGAAGAACATGGTAAAAGTATGCAGACAAACAGATGGACTACAGTCTGTAATTATACACCTACAAAGTGCACCTATATGGTAAGTGGAGCTGATAAAATGGACAGTGAGTGTAGAAACAAGGAGGTAGTTTTATTGTTATGGCTGGTCAGTGTGTGCTACTTTGTGAAGGAAGCCACTAAATTTATATTCTGTTCAGAAATTGCAACTACTTGTTGCTCCAGATTTTTCTCTAAGATGCCGTAAGACATCTGAGCAGATTTCACAACGTTTAATAAAGCCAGTGATTCAAACTGGTATTTTCTGATGCATTTATTTCAATTAGAAGAGCAGAACATTTAGAGCAGCGGTTACCAACCCTGGTCCTTGGGATCTACATTTCCTGCAGTCTTGTTCCAACCACAATCTGCAGATACAGGCTGGAACTGAACTCTGCAGGAAAGCAGATCTCCAGGAGGAGGGTTAGTGACCACTAGTTTAGGAGATGCTGGGCTACTATGCTAAAAGTCTTGCAGTTTATGAATTTTGCTCTATTTGTAACCTTAATAAGAATAGACACTGTATTCTTCCATGATGCCAATCTAAGTGATTCCAGTTTCTACCTTTTAAATGTGTGCATGTCAGCATTAACATAAATGTGAATGAAAAATATTGGATATCAGCAAGTCCCATATCAGTGCATCCCTAGAAATGACCTTTGGAGCACCTGAGAGGTACAAGGTTATTCATTCCAATGACCACAAATTCAGTGTTGAAACTTTATTAATGTGGAATTGCACCAATATTTCAAAACTTCTGCCTAATTCAATCATTGAAATGTCAACAAAGTAATTCAAAGTGGTTTGATGTGAAATGCAGTGTTCTAGAGAAACCTGATAGGATAGGAACCAGGTATTACAATGTCCACAAATACAGCCATTTTATTTACTGTCCAGAATGACCAGTGAACCTCTGTGTGCCTTCAGAGTGTTTATATGAAATACCAGTGACGATAAGAAAAATATGATTTAATTTTGGCTTGTCTCAAATCTCTGTTTTGTGTGTTGAAAAGGAGACGGCATAGTTTAATTTTCTCTCCTTATGCATGTTATTATAAGATAGAATACACTACATATGATAACGCTCCCTTCTGTTTTTTGCAGGTTCGTGAGTGGAAGAAAGAGGGAGGGAAGACGCGCATGTGCACAGGCCGTCCTGGTTGGCTCACTGTGTCTCTGAGGGTGGGGAAATATAAGAAGACCCACAAGAACATCATGATCAATATGATGGACATTCTGGAGGTGGACACGAAAAGACAGGTGGGATCAAACTGCAACATTACAGGACAAAAAATACAGCATTTTGTGGAATTTTGGGTGCGATTTTATCGGACAATTTAAGCAAATGATGAATGGCCTAATTTTAAATGTAGGCTATATGGTTTTGCATTTAATCCTGTGGTATTCAGGATTAGTCCTACTGGCCTCCAACCTTGGACAATTCAGTGTTTTCCTGATCTAATATACTTAATCAGGTAATTAGAAAGGCCTTTAAGGATTGCATACTAATGAACCCTTGAAGAACCCTTTTTAAAAAGAGCACTCTTAAAAAGTTCTTCAATAGTTCTTTAGTACAAGTAATGGTTATTTACAGAAACGTAACTTAAAGAACCATTTGAATACTTAAAGGTGCTTTAGTCAAAACTGAAGATGTGAACCTCTAGTGGTTAAATAGGTGAACTACAACAACACTGGATTACAACCTCCTGTTCTCACCCATCAACACAAATCACATTCGTAGAATTGACTGTTCCTACCGTCGAGTTCATTTAGAGTTTGCCAGCATTAGCAAGCAATGTCATGACTTTACTTTCTAGCGGTGAGGTAGGCTGTTTATTAAGGATTTTGCCTGTTTTTTTGTTATTTAGATATAGATGATAAAAGTATGGCATTAAGTTAATGTTACGAAAAGAGAAAATCAAAATATTTGATATATTGATATATTTTGATATAGTTGGCTCATTTGTGGTGGTTGTGCTTGCTTCCAGGAACTTACCTGAAAGATATAAGCATAAAGAGAGGGCTACAATACTTCTCTCCCCAGCAGAGTATTGATTTGTTCTGCTTGGTAAATTATGATGACATAAAATTACATTTCACTTATTCAGAGAGACTTTTCATCTAATTATACTCTCCAAATACTTTTGGCCATAGCGAGCATTGAAGTTACAAGCCTGTAAACACTTGGCATTTGATTCATACTGATTTGCTGCTTGAGAATGGTCCAAAGCCCATGTGTCAAACACAAGGCCTGTGGGCCAAGTCAGGCCTGTGACACAGTCATGCTATTCTGCCTGCGAAATTATTTTAATTTTCAATTCTTATTAGCCCATTTTACTCTGAGATGCACTACAGTCCCCAGCATGCACTGCAACATAGTGTGCGTTCTGACCCCCCAACAACAATCTATGGGCCAGCAGTTACACAAAAAGAAAAGAAGCATTTTTGAATATGTATTCAGGACCTATTTTGCTGTTGCAGTTTTGGGATGTTTTGAATAAGCAATGGCCTGTTTGGGTCATGGCAAAACGTTATGTAAAAATAAAATAAAAACACAGCTGGCCCACGGAGTTTTTAATATGGCCCTTTTAGTGGTTGAGTTTGACACCCCTGGTGTCTGTTTTTCTCTGTAATGAGCTTTAATGAGGCAAAAATTGTCTCTACAGCAGAATTTAAGGTAGAACGGAAATTTTGATTAAGAAGCCGACTTCAGCTTCATCTAGTTTGCTTTGGTACCTGCATGGAAGTTTGAGACATTCGACTAGTATTACATACATCACTGTGAAGGTGGTTCATCCAAAGCATTACTTTACCCGCCTCTCTGACTGATTAAAGACTTATCTACATGATTTGTTATGTAAAGTTATCCATTCAGAAGTTCAACTCATACATACATTTACATACCTGTCTAGGAGGACCGTCATGAGCCGAACAGACGGATTAGAGGTGGGGGTGTAATGCGGTATTGGGGAGGGTCAAAACAAGGTTTCTTATAAAACACTGCCACAACAAATGTTTTTTTATGTTCTACATATTTTCCAGGTTATTTGTACAAGTAATAAAAAAATAAAGAAATGCACCTTTAAATGGTTCTTTGCTATTCAGAAAACAGTTCTTTTAAAGTGTGACATTTTAATTATGCTACAATTTTCTCCACTCAGTTGATGATGAATTATTACATTCTCTATTGCATAAAGTATTATTATTTTTATTAGTAAGTATACCTGCGACCCAGAAGGGTAAGCGGTTTAGATGATGTGTGTGTGTCTGTGTGATTATTAAGTATAGTGTCTGAGAGGGACAGCCTGGATCTCTTATGAAATGACTAAAAAAGGGTTCTGCTACAGTTACCAGCCATATAACTTTTTTAGTACAGTATAGGACTCTTTTTGCTAAGTGTGTGATTTAACGTCTCTGTGTCCTAAGGTGGTACGTGTGGAGCCCTTGGCAAACATGGGTCAAGTGACAGCCTTGCTAAACTCCATTGGCTGGACACTGCCTGTATTGCCTGAGCTTGATGATCTCACAGTAGGTAGGTCCTCAAACCTTCTGTTGTTGTCTTAGTTCATAACGTCCCTTACCATTTTTAGAGAAAGTCTGTAGGCTGCATTTCATCTTCTCTCTCCCTCCCTCTTTCCCCCTCTCTTTCACCAGACTTCAGTTTAATGACTCTAAGCACTATCACGGATTTAAGTGGAGCATTTACATGCAATATTCCTTGCTGGTCGATATTGTATTTCTTGTGTGGTGCATCAGAGGCCGCTCCTAATTGGGTTATGGATGAGTAATGGCTCTGTTTCAGTGGGTTAGGTCAGACTGCTGCGGAAATGGGCCGTTCTACTGAAAGCGTTTATGGGTAGCAGAAAATGTGTGCGCCGTCCAGGTAATGTTTTTTTGCCGTCGCTGCTGCGGCAAATTCATTTGGAGGCCTGCAGAGAGCAGCTGTGTGGGGAAGTGAGAGAATTGTTTTCTGTTTGTTTTATCATATTTTCGTATACACGTACACTATACAGAGGCCTATAACACCATAAATGCTTTTTGATGGATTTGAGCTATTGATTTTGTCCAGTCGGGCACTGAAAGGCATGTATACCGAAAGTGTCACTCAAGCTGGTGTTTCTTGGATGAGACAGTGTGTGGAACTGTGCCTCTGGAGTCAAAGTTCAGATTATTTGAACTTGGGACCTACACAGCTCTTTCATAACCATTATGTGACGGTTCCATATTAGTTTGTCCACCTCTTTGTTCACAAAAAAGAAGAAAAGCTTTTCTCTCATTTCCTGTATCCAGGTGGCTTTACTTGAATGTTGTTCTTTAACAATGATTTAGACATTGTGCACCAGGAAGGTGAAAATGGTCATGGTGCACTGTTTTTCATTAAGTATATAGTATTGTGCAAAAGCTTAGGCATCTGAGAAAATAGTGTTTACAAAAGCTGTTTAATTGGGGAGTAAGTATTTATTTGCTCTGAAAGCCATCAGTATCAGGCTAAAGTAACATTTAATATGGTAAGGAGAATGTTAATGTGTTTGCTTATTTCTATACCTCTACTTGTTGCAGCCCAGTGTCAATTGTAGTTATTATCTAGTATCTACTTTGACAAATCAATGCTTCATTAAAGGGCTATTATGGAAAACCAAATTTCCCTTGCTATTTGAAATCGAGGAGAAGCACTATGTAAAGACTGCCACATGTTCTGTTCAGTCCACATATCGCTGTTGTCGGAAGAAAACCTTGTATCTCCAAAATGATAACTTTACAGGAGAAGGACAAAACATACTTTACTTTAATGTAAGTCAGTGGAACCAGACCTTTTTCCAAGTCATTTTGGGTCATTTCTTTTGGTCCATTCATCATGAAATTTACACACACAATGTAAAGGGCAACAGGCATTTTCAGATTATGTCAAAAACTGAAAAACACCAAAAATGCAGATACAAGCTTTTGTTCGGACAACAGCGATATGAAAACAATGCTGCAAAAACCCATTTTGAATTCACTTATTCTACAGCAGTTTAGCTCCACCCATTCACACTGAAGTTCTAAAGAGTGTTTTAGCTCTGAGTGCTTTTTGATTGATGCATGTTACTGCTCTGGTTGATACATCAGAACAGCTCATTTATCTCACATCGGTTTTAAAGGAACAGTAACAAAAACAGCATGTTGAATTCTAAGGGATGAAGAGACGTTGAAAAATAGTCATAGTAAATAGTAAATAAATTGTGACTGTTTTTGATACCACACAAATGTTATGAGTGGATCTTAAGGGGAAACAATAAAACACAAGAAAAATGTGGGATAAGGGCCCCTAAATCATCTATGCTGTTGAACAAATCTCAGCAATGGCTGGGTGAATCAAGAAGACATCTGAAGCCAAACTTCTTCTGTTCTTCTAAGGCTTTTGCATAGTACTGTATATATCAGCTTTTATGTTCCCCATCCAATTCTCTCTCTGTCTCTCTCTCTCTCTCTCTCTCTCTCAGGGGGTCTGGTAATGGGCACGGGTATTGAGTCCTCTTCTCATATTTATGGGCTGTTCCAGCACATCTGCGTGGCCTATGAGCTTGTGCTGGCAGATGGCAGTCTGGTCCGCTGCACTGAGGTTTGAATCTTATTTAAAGTCTGTGTTTGTATATGTATGTCTGCTGTGTTTCCATGTATCCGGTTGCCCACACATTTCATGTGGGTGCAACATTTACATATAAGCCTAGTCTGAAAAAGTAAAAAAGGCATTTATTATACACCATCTGCTTCTCGTGCTCATGGCTCTGCAGCTTTGAGAAAGAGAGAAAGACGCGGGAAGAGGCAGAAAAAAGAGAGATGTAAGAGGAGAAGGGGAAGTAAGATACATGATCACTTTTTTTCATTATTATGTCATTTAGTCATTATTTACTGTCTGTATCTCATAAACAACACTATCAATAACCATTCTAAATAGATTAGATAGACGAGATAAGACATTATTGTCTGTTTTCACAGAAATTTATCTTGCGCTAACCAATCAAAGGTACACAAAAGAATATCAAAATTACAGATCTTATGCTTATTCCTCCTGCAACTCTAAACAATTCCATGAGGGAAGTGACTGAAACTCCTCATACCAAGCATGATAAAAATCTGTCCGATTTTATCAGCCAATCTAAGGGTATTATTTGTGACGGTTTAAAGGAATGAGTGTTCCCTGGATTCACCCACCACTTTGGAGCTGATGTCTAGGAGCTACAAGATCCTGGCCTTAGGCTGGATTGTAAGGCCATTGAACCAGACCAAACTTCCATAGAGCAAGATACGTTGAATGGTGGAGCAAAAGAAAGGGTTAAGGATTTAAGGGTTTCCTTACAAGCTCCAAAGGGTCTTAGCCACCTCAAAACATAAATCCCTTGCTGTATTTTACTACAATCACGGTCACTGTGATAGCTCCAAGTAAATGCACTATCCACATACACACCCACATATTTTAAAGATGTTGTTTGTTTAATGGGTTGATCATAGGGCTGCATGAATCTGTGGTGGTGTTCCAAAATAATCTCATTTGTTTTAGCAGAGTTCTGCTCACAAACCTGAACTCATTTGTGCACACTATCCTGAAAAAGGCCTGGCTTATCCTCCTCCTTCATTTGTGCTACAATTGCAGAATCATCTGAAAACCTAACCACAAAGCAGCTAAGCATACCAGCAACACCATTGCTCCTATAAATTGTGAAAAGCAAAGGGATGCACTGATATGGAGTTTCCGATCATGATAACCAATTATTAACAACTTGTTGTGGCCATTCATGACACCAATAGCTACTATTTTTTTTTCAACTCTAAAGGCTGGTTACTCAGACTTTAATTAAGGCTGATTCCTAAAAAAGCTGCAGTTCTGCTGTGCTCCATTAAAACTGTGAAATACTGCTAACATTTCAACATGTAGTATCAGAGCATGACTATATCAGGTTATTCGGCAGTTCATGCAGGAGCAAAAATGAGATGACAAGCCATCAGCTCATATCGGACGCAATTCAAACATTGGATCAATAGTAATAATAAAATTTGATCATTTCTTATTTCTTCTGGCTCTACCCAAGTCACAGCTTTCTCAGTTTTTCTGTAAGTGACTCTACACAGTTTTTAGCTGCTAAAAAGCTGAAAGATTTGCATTGTGCTTGCTGTATTAGTAAGTAAGAGATTATTAACTGTATATGTTCTGGTTGTGGGCAGAAAGAGAACTCTGAGCTGTTCTATTCGGTTCCGTGGTCCTGTGGAACCCTGGGCTTCCTTGTGGCCGCTGAAATCCGGATCATTCCAGCTCGGAAGTGGGTGAAGCTGCGCTACAAGGCTGTGCATGGTTTGGATGCGATCTGTAAGACGTTTGCAGAGGAGTCAGCCAACAAGGAGAACCAGTTTGTGGAGGGGCTGCAGTATTCACTCAACGAGGCTGTGATTATGACCGGAACCATGACTGACAATGCAGAGCCTGACAAGGTCAGATCACAGGTGTTCTTCTGCTTAAAATATGCTTGAATTCATCCATTTCCTTATGTGTTAAAGAAGATCATTTTCAGAGATGATTAGACGCACTTTTAGTTGAGTTTTTTACACTCATTCTGACCTTTGTTCCTGGTTAGTTTGTAGTCAACCGCATTGCTGCTGTTGTACCAAACTCTTGTATGAAATGGTAACTTTATAGTAGAAGGTAAAATAAAATTGTGCCTTATTCACCAATATCTTCCTCAGATTTTCGACGTGTTCATAAACCACAGAATTGTTCACAGGTTTGTGCTCTTGAGTGTGTGTAGATTGTGTTCTTATCTAAGAACAAATCCCATGACATTAGTGAATGTCATGTAAAATCTCAGAATCTGGTTGGTGAATGAGGCCCTTTCTTAAATTAGTTTTGTAGGAAAATGATTGCATTCCATGTAATTTTAGACCATCTATATTGGTGTAGTCTTTATATAAAAGACATAAAGGTAAGATGTAGTTTCCAAATGTGTAATAAATCCCAAAAAAACCCTAAAAAAGGTAAAAGGTTTTAATTTCGATAGGAACAATATACTACTGTCACAAAAAGGCTCATCACAAACACACTCACAGCTAAATGAATCAGTCATAAATATTGACCTTATCTTTTTAAAGTAATATTGTTCTGTAAAAGTTAAAATGCGAGCTTTTGTACTGAGACTTGATATAATTTTTTCATGCTTTTGTCCGATAGATCAACCGCATTGGCCACTACTACAAGCCCTGGTTCTTTAAGCATGTGGAGAAGTTTCTGAAGGAGGATTCTGGTGCTGTGGAGTACATCCCACTCAGACACTACTACCACAGACACACACGCAGCATCTTCTGGGAGCTACAGGTAAACCAGGGGAAACATACTGTAAGAATAGTCTTGGTCAGTCCACATGAAATCACTGAAGGCCTTCCAACTGATGGTCTCAGGTCTTACCAAGCATGTACTAAATTATGAGTCATATATACCAACGTTTTAATGATTGTGTGTATTTCAGTTTGACAATATTTAGGGCCAAAATGACAGTTTTTCTGCAGTGGTTTGGAAAGCCAAAAGGCAGGCTAACCTGAATCTTTGGTTTAGTTTAGTAGTCAAACGCACCTTAAATCAATAGGTAAACCTCAAAAATGTCATGCAAGTAGCCTCAAGAGTTTAAACCTAATGACACATCTTCTTCTGTCACACTTGTTTTAAGGCCAAAAATTAAAGCTACATCACACTTAAGTTCCCAGAACGTAACGAAGATACAAGCTTACAGTTGGCACACTATCTACAGGGCACAGTGACATTATACATTATTTTGAAAGAGCCAGTTATTAACTTTTTCTGAAATCTGGTGATCTGAGATGGATTCATCCATCTGTTAGGAGGTAGCACATAAATAAAAACGTGAATACATACCAAAGTTAATCCATGTCTGGTGTCATTATGTAGTCTATCTATCACTCATATCAGCTGCTAATAAATAGGCACTGTTCTCAACCAGTTTGAGTAGAAATCACATTTTTTTTGATGGGTAATTGGATGGTGTGTGTTTAAGGCTCTTACACTGTGGTCTCTTTCCTCTCAAACGTTCCATTAGCCTTAATGCTGTCCGCCGACTCTTCCCTTAATGCATTAGAATTAGGTGAATATCTCTACCTCTTCCCGCTTTGTCATATCATCATTGTCTCAGTCTGTATGTCTGTCTCACTCTCTCTCACTCCCCCTCTCTCTCTCTCTCTCTCTCTCTCTCTCTGTCTCTCACACACACACACACACACACACACACACAATCTTTCTGCATTACATCCACTAATGCTTTCCCTCACTGCCATTAGATAGAGGAAGTCATATGTGGTAATTATTGCAGTCTAAAATTACTTGATAAATTATGCAGGTTGTTTTTTTTCTGAAGGATTGATCCTGCATGTGTTGGGCAGGGGTGAGTGTTTGTGTGTCTGTCAGCATATCCTGATATTTTATCTTTTTAACATGGAGACACACACACAAACACACACACACACACACACACACACACATTTCCTGACAGGCAGTTTTCTAATAATCACAGCAAAGTGGCATGACGTAAAAAATGTACGCTTTTAATGTGAAGGGGAAGTATTGATCGGTCTGCTCTTCTCTGTTAGCTTCCCTTAGCTTGCGGCATATTTATTTTTCCCTCTCGTTTTATCATTTTTTTCCTCTCGCTCAGTTAAAGTATTTGTACGATGTTTATTAGAAATGGAGACGTAGCATTTCTACACTCTCTGAAATAAAGATACCAAACTGTCACTGGGGCAGTACCTGTGTTGTGACTGGGGAGGTGCCCTCAAGGGTACATCTTCAGAATTTTAAGTAAAGGAAGGTAAGTGTATTTTGAGTTGCATTGACTCTATACACCCTGGCTTGTCTTTGGCCATTTAATTTTTCTGTTTTAAAACAATAAGTTATGAAAATATGTGCCTTTGACTTTGAAAATCTTGTAAAGGACACCTAAAGCCACTGTTGTAGCTTTGAGGATACGTTTACATAGTTTGTACCTTGACGAACGAAAAATGGACCTGCACAGTGACCTTTTTCTTTTCCGACAGTGTATGCAAGCCCTTTCCCACCAGAGGAGAAATCATGCTCCCGAAACTTTTTCTCTTTCTCTGTGTCTGGAAGTAATATGTTATAATTTTGACTTATCTCTAATGACTTAATTTCTCAAAATATTGACTTATGCTGAAATAATGACTTACTATGTCAAAATAATGACGTATAATCTCATAATAATTACCTAATTTTGTGAAATATGTATTTATTTGTTTACTTATTTACTCAATTTACTTTAATTTAAACCTGCAATTTTTGTAAAATATTGACTTAATATGTCAACATATTAAGTCAGTATTTATAGAAAACAATTTCGAGATACTATATCATTTTGAGAAATTGTCATTATTTCTGGAAAATAGGTAATTTTGAGATATTAAGTAATTATTTCATCAAAATAAGTCATTATGTCAGGATATTAAGTCAATATTCTGAGTTATTTTGAGATATTGAGAAAATATAAAAAAAAAGCCATATTTTGAGATACTAAGTCAATATTTTGACATAATCCTGTCAGAAACAGAGAAGGAGGACAGAAACATTTTTTTCCAATATTTTTTTCTTCTCAGCCTGGTGGGAATGGGCCTCCATACTTTACTGAATAGGTAGAGGAAAAATATTTTTACATTTATATACAGTTATATGCAAAGGTTTAGGTGCCCCTAATCAAATTACGTTTTGCTAATATGCACAGATCCTCACACTAGTAATATTTTATTACTGTAGCACATTTGAACAATCACAAGCTGCACATCTTTCTGTTTACAGTATACAGCTGGCTTAAGTTGCTTGTTGAACATGGAGGATGCGTTTAAATGCTTTCCCAGGTGCCTAGATTAATTTGCTCATCAGAGGTGGCCACAACACAACTGACATTGCAAAAGCGTTCTTCCGCATGTTGCTCGCAATTAAGTATTTCCACCAGAGACCCCAAACATATGTAGAGCTCCTTTAAAAAAAAATCTCTTTCTCAACCTCCACTTCCACCCCTCAATGCTCTCTCACTCTTTCCCTTGTCCCTGTTTTCAGGACATCATCCCATTTGGGAATAACCCGTTGTTCAGGTACTTCTTTGGCTGGATGGTGCCTCCTAAGATCTCTCTGCTGAAACTCACTCAGGGAGAGACCATCCGCCGCCTGTACGAGCAGCACCATGTGGTGCAGGACATGCTGGTGCCCATGAAGCACATCAAGACAGCCATCACACGCTTTCCACCAGGACATTCACGTAAGATCTCACCTCTTTCCTCAAACTGCAGCTTTCATCCTGACTGTGACCAACATCACAGTTTATAGACTCCACAACTGACATACACTATCTGCCAAAAGTTTGAGAACACCATTATTTAAATTGAATTGAATTGATATTGCCTTCAGGTTAGGTTTGGTTCACATAAAACAGCTGTTTACTAATATTTTGGGCATATTTATCAGCACTCAGCTTCATCAGCTACAACAAAGTGTCTTCCTTGGTATGAAGTGTGGATGAATAATTAGACAGTGTACTTTTCCAAGCACATATTGAACATCTTTTGGACCAAAGGGATAAAATGCATGTCTATGGTGTTTATCTCCCAAGCTATTACTGTCACAAATATATGTGTCGCATTGTGTCCCACCCCCCAAAAAAAAAACGTTAGTCTTTAATATTGTAGCGTCAGTGCAGAAGAAGATATGGGCAACATCACACGTACAAGCAAACACTTTTTTATTTTTAAACAGACACTTTAACAGGGGCAAGAAATGGACAGGCTAGTGCTACCCCAGCATGAAACATGCAGGGGCACGACATATGAGGAGGGCAGACACTTCTAACCACTAGTTACACTACAAAGCCCACCCTCCTCGGACACAATTACTCCAATAAACACAACTTCACACTACAACCAGCCCCCACACAACAACAACAGCCCCTTTTTAACCTGGAGTGTGGCAAGCTTGGAGAGCCACTTTGCATGGCCATGCCCCCTAAGCTCCCCACGCAGCGTAGAGCCAGTGGCAGACATTTTTGGAAACCTTAAAGCTTAAAGAAAACATATTAGTTTGTATTAAAAACAAAGCATTGTGTCCACAAACTTTTGACCTGCTGTTTGTATGTGTTTGCGTGGTAGGTGTATCCCCTCTGGCTGTGTCCATTCATTTTGCCCAATCAGCCAGGCATGGTACACCCCAAAGGAGATGAGGATGAGCTGTATGTGGATATTGGAGCATACGGGGAGCCCAAAGTCAAACACTTCGAGGCCCAGGCCTCCACACGCCAGCTCGAGAAGTTTGTGAGAGATGTTCACGGGTCAGTTAAAAAGGACTTTTTTGTTTCTCTTGGTTCTCTTTACTGTTCTGTCTCAGATACATTTGAGATTAGCACACAGTGTGATTTTGCAGCACCCACTGTACTTTTCCTTAACATACTTGCATTCACTCTCTAGTTTCCAGATGCTTTATGCTGATGTGTACATGGAACGGCAGGAATTCTGGGAAATGTTTGATGGCACCCTGTATCATAAGCTCAGGAAGGAGCTGGGCTGCAAGGAGGCATTTCCTGAAGTCTATGACAAAATCTGCAAAGCTGCAAGACACTGATTTCAGTCCTCACTGAAATAAAGCACGACTTCAAAAGTGGCCTTTCTGAGTAAGCTAAAAAAAAGGGGGTGGAAAAAGCACAAAGAAACTATACTGAAGTAAAAGTATGAGTGCTGTATCTAAAAGCACTCAAATAATAGCAGAAGTGTGGAGCAAAAATCACAGTTTAGTCAAAGTTAACACACTCAGTACAAAGTAAATGTTTTTAACAAGAAAATGAGACGTTTCTGGTCCACACAAAGATGGATTAGCAGTTTTATATTACATTTTTTCTGAATGTGGCTGAATGTTTTAAAAAATGTAATAAAAAATAAATATATAAATAATGCTCCAGAATTGGAGAGGAAAAGTCTCCTGGCCTTTGAGATTAGAGTACCTTGAAAGTTTAAATGAAAATGTTAGAATAAAAAAGGTTTTTTTTTCTTGGAGATGTAGTTGAGTAAAACATACAAGCATTCAATTTCAGTTACACCTGAGTAAAGTACAAGTCTTCCAAAATAATACTTAAGAATAGTTACACAGTACACTTACTTTAGTATTTCCCACCTCTGGAAAATGCAATATTAATAATTTTCAATCAAATCAAATATTTTTTTTATTTTGAAACAACCAGCCAACTGCTTTTGAGCCTTTTAGCATACAACAAACACAAAATTAGTCCACATTCAAAATATGTATTAAAGGGGCACTCTGGACACAATGAGAAATGTAACCATTGCTTCATCTGTTGTAATCCAGCATCCTAGCATCCTTTATTGCTTCAGTTTCAACAGAGTGAGATTTTCTAGTTTTAAAGACTAGAAAAACTTTTTGATGATGTATCTTGGAGCTGGGAAGAACCTTTGAAAAACTGCTTTAGGGTGGGTACTTTAGAGCAGGCTGTTAGAAATGTTATTTTATTACTGCTAGCTGGCTAATGCAGAAGGAAGCCAGATAGCTAGAAGCTAAATAAGACATCTGTATTGATTAGTTAGCTGCTCTAGGTGGGAGTGCCCCTTTAAGCATATTGTGATCAAAATACAGACAGTATGTTTGTCAAAAATGTTAAAAACAAAAGCTTTCATACATATTTTCCTAAATATTTTCCTACACTGTGGATGTTCTTTTCTGTGTCTCTAGTGATGCCTTTTTACTAGATAGATATATAGTGATTAATATATAATACAATGTTTTTCCTTTTTCTAAATTGTCACCCTAATAAGATTTTTGAATGTATTGCATTTGCCTTAAGTTTGTTTTCCAATGTGTGGCCAATACTGGTCTAAATACTCAAATTTGGAACCTCTGTCAATAGGAGGGGACTGTTTTTCCAGTGCCACCCATAAAAGCTCCTTAATTAAATTTTTACAAATGACCAAACTAGTCAAATTACAGACTGGCTGAGTGTGCCTCATAGTTATTCTAAAACACACACACATCAACTTTTTGTGTCTGAGTGTGTTCCCTCCCCAGTATCACAACTCTAATGTACACTATATGTCCAGGGCCCCTTCTCATTCAATGTCTCTTCTAAAGTCAAGGGTGTTAATAGGGGGTTTTGCCTTTGCTGCAGTAACAGCCTCAACTCTTCTGGGAAAGCTTTACACTAGATGTTGGAACATTGCTGTAAGGATTTGATTGCATTTAGTCACAAGAGCATTAGTGAGGTCAAGTACTGATGTTGGATGATCAGTTCTGGATCACAAACACCACTCAAGCTCTACCACTTCAGAGAATGCAGTTCCACTATGCCACAGCCAATGCTGGGGTGCACTGAAAAGAAGCTGAATTCACTATTAGAGGGGTGCCTGGATACTTTTGGACAAATAATGTACCACTTCAACAACTTTCCAGCCATGAATGTCTTCAAAACTCTTTTGTTCTTTGGAGATAATGGATTTTTTTTGGCTATAGCCTTGTGTTATACGTAAGTCCTCCAGTATACCTCTTTCACCTCTTAGTGTTTTGATTTTGTTGTTTGTTTTGTTGTTGTTTGTTGATGTGCCCCTCTTTCAGCATATCTTGTTCACTGTTTGTTTTCTCCAGATTTTCTCATGTGGCATGTGAAGCTTAATGTTCTCACAGACTGTACCATCCTCAGGTTTCTAGGACCAGTTCCAGGGATGTGGATGTGTTTCATTCCTCATGGCATCTTCATTGCTTTTTAAAGTTTTTTTTTTCTAGATATGGTGATTATATGTAGAAGAATAAAATTCCAAGCTGGCAATCTTTTTAGGTCAGTGAGTTATACAAATAACAAAAACACATTGATATATGATGCATTGGAAATTAATGTATTTTTAAAAGGTACAAATGGCTTCTTAAGCATAAACATGACTAATTCAGGCAGTAACGTGTTTAGGTAGTAACTGTGCGGATGTGTGTTTGAGGGTGCTAGTAAGTGTAAACTATGCTGAAGAGCACATTTGTCCTCCTCTGAAGGGGCCCTCAGGTTGCACCAGGAAGGATCTCCTATCCAAAGGAACATTGACGGGCCTGAGTCTCTCCCTAACAAACAATAAAAGACCTCACATTATAATACATTCTACACGTTTCATTATTATTATACAAAATGACCCATTCAACACTTTGAATAGTGAAACTTTGTGAGTAAGTTTGTGTATTCATAAAGTGATTCCATTTGTGGGATTGTAACTGTAAAATTAAGCCAACTTTTCACTTTTCAGATTTGAATCTAAGAACAGATGCATTTAGCCATCCAAAAATCTGTACCCATCTCAGATAATAAAATACAAATTCTAAGAAGCTTCCTTTTGTGATGATAGTGGTGTTTTACTCAACCCTGGTACCAAAACTTTGCAGCTATTTGAATATAATCAAAACCATAAATACATTATTTCCCCTGACAATCTGAAGTTTATGATAATCTGTGAAAAGTGGCCAGTATGAACATACACATGCATGTAAGGTGTGTTTAGAAGGCCTTATATTTCTAAAGGAGCCAACAAGAGCCAAATTGTATAGCAAGTAGTTAAATAAATAAATAGCATTGAAGAGAAACAAGAGTAACATTTTATTAGAAGACTACTTACATAGAGGCTTCATAACACATGCACAGTCGCTGAAAAATGCATTTATTAAGCAAGATTTGAATATGTAAAAAATAAATTACATTGAACTGAAATAAGAGCCTACATTTGTTCCATTCATAATGTTGTGTAATGAAACTTTTAAGCCAGAGGCCTAATTAAGAACCCCATATATCAGATCTACATATTGCTGTGCAAAGTGCAGAAGTAGAGTTAAGGAGACATGTGACCACAGACATAAACAAAAACCTCTGTTTTTCATCTCTGCAACCACACAGGTCTCCATAGAACTGTTCATCAAAATAATGTTACATAACTGTTATAACTTTTGATTGCAGGTTTGAGGGAACCAGAATCTTCAGTGAAACTGACACATAGTGTTCTTAATTAAGCCTGTACTTTATATGTTCAGTTATGTGGGAATGATGATGATTCATAACAATATTATAAAAAAAAAGTCCTCATGTCAAGTACTGAATTATAAATGTTATTCAGTGCTTATGCATTAGTTATTAAGCCCCTATAGCTCATCAGTACCAGCCATTCTACTGCCAGTCTTTGTCTAGCAAGACTTCAAGCCTATATGCTTAATTGTATCCACCTGTTAGCAATGGGTGTGGCTGAAACACCTGAACACAATAATTAGGAAAGGTTTTTGAATACCTTTGTCCATACAGTGTATTATATATAAAGGTTTCTAAACTATTTTTGGATACTTGTTGTCAGTAGTTTATTGCGGAAGGCACTTCACTTATATGTAAAACGTCAAAGTGGCATTCCATCGTTTTTTCAACATTTCTGCATAATTCAAGTGTTTAGATGTTAAGAAAGTCATTCAGATTAGATGTGAAGCACAGATAATGTGCACTGTAGATACTCTTTCTTAATGGTGGTGGAAAAGGAACCAATGGTCATGATGTCTACAATGCAAATATATATTTTAGGCCAAAACCTTATCTTAAAACCATCATGAAACAATGTCTTTGGCATCAGCCAGCATATTTCTAATCATTTCATGTACTAACTTTCTGTGAGGGAGCTTTAAGGGCCTTAAACGCTTCAGACATCTGGTTCCCTTCACTACCACTGTGAACAATTCTGACTCAGTATGTTTCTCTAGCATGGTGCACTTCATTCTCTGAATGACATTGTTTACAACAATTTATCTATGCAGAAACTGTGAAACATCAGTGGAATTCACATGCAGTATTAAAGAATGCACTTGGATGTGCAGGTATAATTTGTATTTCTTGTAATTTGTATTTGTATTTCACAAAGTGTCATGAGTTTCACTGAACCACTTCTTAGAGACACAGCTAAATATGAACACTATAAAAACTTTAAGTAAGATATAGCAGCTCTTACTGGCTGTATTTGTCTCTCGCAGGGCAGTGCAGGTAGCGCTGAGTGCCAGACACGAACGACGATCTGTGACCGTTTGCACTTCTGCTCTGACCTGTCTTTGTTATGGTATAGCGGCCAGGCCCAACCATGTTCTGTGGAAAGCAGACAGAATGTGACAGTTCAAATATGTTCAGTACCTGAAATCTGTTCCACACAATCTGTAAAGGATGTTGTTTCAATTTTAAGGAACTATATTGAATAGAAAAGGGTGTCTATAGTATGTTAAAATGGCACTTTCCATTACTTTTTACTTTACCGTAACTGCTCAGATGATGAAATGGATAAACTCTATCAAACTGGAATAGGGAAAAAAAATAGCCCTGTTTTCTGGAAGATTATTGTTTCCACAGACTTTAGAATACTGTAATAGTCAGTTTTCACAATGACTGCACACTGAGCTGCCTGTTTTTAGATATATATAGTAGCATATAACTATGGTAGCATACTCAGTTACTGATTGAAGCTCTTTTTGTAGTGTAGACCATTCTCAGCACAGTGGTGATACCAACATGGTAGTGGCATGTGGGTGTTGCGCTGGTCCAAGTGCATTGGGTGCAGTCCTTGTGTTGGATTACTTAACATACTGGGTAATTCAGTGTCTATATATGGACATTAAGACATGCTATATAATATACATATGTGTCTGTTTTTGTGGCAGTGATATTTCTGACATGAAATGTTTCTTACATGGTTTTTATTCAGCACTGTTTCTGTCCTCTTGCTGAACCTGGGGGCGGAAGAGAGGAAGGGCGCTGGTGTACCACTCCTTGAGTGGCCCCCTGGTGTCACAGGAGTGACATCATACCAGCCTGGACCAGGAAATGTCTGACAGAGAAAGAAGAACCAAAATGTGCACAATTCTGTAAATTGTCATTTTAGCAAACTATGTTAAAAGGGAATTCCACCAATTAAAAAAAATCTCTGTAATCAGATCTTTAAAACATAAACAAAATGATTAAGTGAAAATAAGTAAACGTACTGTATAGTGAATACACTTCTGCACATTTTAATGCACAATCACTGTTTATGTATATAATGTACTATATAAACACATTGTAATAGGTTTCATACGTGATAATATTACACATGAAAAAAGAAGACGTGCAAGTTCACTGATTATTTTAGTAAATAAAACAGCTACTTATTGCATTGTAGACCTCCCGACCCCTAGTTCACCACCAAGTTGGTAAGTTTTTCTACAATGCACCATTTCACATTAAAACCACTCTGAATGAATTAGTTAACTTCTTGTAGATTTAATTATGCTGAAATTTGAAAAATCTGTAATATTCTCCTTTAATGGGCCCAGTGCACTACATAATCACTGATCTTTGTTCTTTATTGAACGTAAATTCATCATAATACCTCTTACAGCATTCTTGAATCAAAGAGGCTGAACAAATAGTAAATGTGCTGTGTGTGTACCGCAGGCCGTGGACACTGAGGCAGGCTGGAGAGGTAGATTCTCTCAGTAGGGACGGCAGGGTATTGCTGCAGACGGCTGAACACGCCATGCTTCTTCTTCTCAGGTCTCTGCAGCTCCTCTCCAAACTTGGGTACCTCTTTAGTGCACTCACCCGGGTTCAGACTCATTGTTTTCTGAAGACAGCGAATATGGTTAACACACTCTTTGAAAAAAGGTTTCTATGCAGTGTCAAGGTTCTAGGATGTATAAATGTAACAATAACAGAACAATTTCTGGTGCTATAATCAACCACTTTTTAAGTAGTTCTTTACAACAGGTTCTCCAGCATGGGGAAGAACCATTTAATGATGCAAAAAACACTTGTTCTGTGAGTTCCTTTGGTTCCATGTAACCACTGACTTTTCAAAAGAGCCCTTGAATAAATCCTTTTTGAGTTTACTAAATCTGGTAATTATCTGGTGAGAGTCTTTGGAAATCACCAAACTAGGCATTGTTGTATCCATTAAAATAATTTTGTGATCTGTTTTATAATTTTAACCGCCTACCCCCCTCCTCCTCCTCCTATTGAAAGGCTTGATGTACTTACAGGGACGGCAAAGTAGCCACAGACAACGGGTTTGTTTCTGCGGCTAGTGAACAGGTCATAGGGGCCTCTCTTACTGACTCTGCGACTCAGGATCAAGTCAGTAAAGCTCTTCAGATTGTAAGTACCTGGACTCAAACCACTGTCCTGCTATACAAACAAAAAGAACATAAATATGCACTCTGCATTTTAATACACAGTAGGTTGACACACATATATATATACATATATATATATATATATATATATATAATTGCATATTTTACAATTGCATACAATCTCTGCTTTTGACACCACGACAGGCGTCATCAATTCCAATCCTAGAGGGCCAGAGTTCAGTACAGTTTGAGGATCACCTGATTCAACTTATCTGCTAATTGCCAGCTATAATCGCCAAACTGTGTTGGACACCAGCACTCTAGGTCTAGAATTAGTGCAGTAAACACTATAATAGCAGTTTTCAGTCCTAGTCCATGCACTGCCCTGCACAGTTTCATGTATTTTCTGCCTCCAACATATCTGATCCATCCCATGAAGAGCTTGATAATTACCTGATGAGCTGGATCAGGTGTTTTGGGGCATGGAATAGATAACTGTGCAGGGCAGGGGGTCCCCAGGACTGGGATTGAAAACCACTTAAACCAACCTCTTACACTACATCCCAGGTTAAATTACATATTTTGTTGATTTCTGTGCTAGTAGTAGATACTACTGCTACTACTGCTACTACTCCAAAAAAAAGTTTTTCTATTATTTCTAGTTCAGTGATATTTTTGGGTTGTCTTGCGCAGCATGATAAAGACCTACTCACATATCTTCAATTATTTTCATGTCAGGGAACTTGAATGGGCTTGTACTTGTTGAGGTTGTTCACAGTGGATTTTGAGGCATGTTTTGGATCATTGTCCTGCTGTAGAAGCCAGCTTCTTTTCAGCTTCAGTTTCTTTCTTCAATATTTTTTTCTGATATTTAGTGGAATCCATTCTTCTACCTATTTGTACAACATTTCTTGTGTTTCGTGTGATCAAATGCTTCTTCTTTTTTCTCCAAACATAGCTTTGGTGATCGTCACCAAATAGTTTTAACTTCATCAGTCCACAGCACCTCTTTTCAAAATGCCTAAGTTATCTATGTGTTTTACACACTTCAGATTTTAAATTTTGCGCTTAGGTTGCAGGTACATTTACTTTGTAATGCCTTTTCCATGCAGGTCATGTTTGTGCAAAAACACTGCACAGCAGAGCAGTGCACCTGCACTCCCATGTCAGCTAAATCTTCACGTTTTTGCTGTTATATACGGGTTTTGATTTGCCTTTCTAGGCAGCATACAAGCAGTTCTGAGAGTGTTCTTGGGTCCAGATCTTGCCTTGAGTTACACAGTTCCCCTTAACTGCCATTTCTTAATGACATTTCAAAAGAAGGAAGCTGTGACATGGAAGCACTTTGATAGCTTTTTAAAGCTTTCCCCTGGTTTGTAGACATCAATTAGCTTCAGATCCTCAGCCGGCTGCTTAGAAGAGCCCATGATTGTTAAGTCTTAACACAAGGTTTGAAGCTCTAAAATTGTCATCAGCTTCTAAAGACATCCTAATGACAATTCCTGAATTGCATGTCCAATCCTAATGAATCAATTAAGGCCTAATGAGTTAATTAAGATCTGAGACTTTACAACAGGAAGGATATCCAAACTTCTGCACAACAATACTGTTTTTTCTACAACCCCAATTCCAATCATTGATAGTGCCTTTTTAGATGTGTATGCTGCCCACGCCATAGGCGCTAATGCAACCCCATACCATCAGAGATGCAGGTTTTCTAAAAAGAATTTCAAATTTTGATTCATCTGACCACAACACTTTTTTCCATTTTGCCTCAGTCCATTTTAAATGAGCTTTGGCCCAGAGAAGACGGTGGTGTTTCTGGATCATGTTAACATATAGCTTGCATTTGTGGATTGCATGGCGAACTGCGTTCACAGACAATGATTTCTGGAACTGTTCCTGAGCCCATGCGTTCCTGTTTTCAATGCAGTGCCATCTGAGGGCCTGAAGATCATGAGCATCCAATATTGACCGTCAGCCTTTTCTGTTGTGTACAGGGATTTCTAAAATGCTCTTTTTATACCCAGTCATGTGAGTGAGTTGCAAATTGCTCCTCCAGCTGTTTTTTATTAGTACCACATTATTTTTCAGCTTTTTGTTGCCCCTGTCCCAAATTTGTAAGATGCGTTGCCGCCATCAAGCTCTAAATGAATTAATATTTTTCATGAAATGGTAAAATGTCTCACTTTCAACATCTGATATGTGTTCTATGTTCTATTGTGAAGAGTCTATGAGATTTGCAAATTCTTATTTTACACAGCATCCCAACTTTTTTGAAATTGGGGTTGTACTTTGTAAGTTAATCAAATATAAAATAACTGTCAACTATAATTTACAGAAAATGTTATTTAAAAAAAAAAAAGTTTTCTGCAGAGGTTTCATTTACATCAACAAAATATGTAATTTGGCTATGGCCCAACATTTTGTATGTACTATAAACTTATCTATCCAGTGCCTGGATTTTTGTTATACTGTACTTTAGCAACTGTACTATAGTTTCCTAATCACTCAGTGAGACAGAACAAAAGAAGTAAATAATAGGTTTACCACAGTGTTTGTAGGGAAGCGCTGCAGGCTGGCGCTGTAGTCCATGGAGGGGCAGGTTCCTACAGACCTCTTCTCCTTCTCCTCCAGTGCTGCTGAAGGGATCCCGCCCTTACCATAAGTTCCTGGACCTGGGGTAGAACTCTGGAACACACATTAAATATTGCATACTTGTGCCCACATACGCATTCATGTGACAAGTCCAGGTAACTAACTAGAACCGAGTCTCCACTCTAGCCATTTTCACATTGAAATGGCTAACCTAAAATAAATAAACTATCCAGAATGACAACTTAAAGCAAGACCAGTTTCTTCAACTTAAATATCAGTTTAAAATTCATCATATCATTTAGAAGACAATTTTTGCTCTCCACTAATCTTCCATCAAAATGTAACGACATTTTGGACAAAATAATATTAACCAATAGCATCATGTTTTACCTCATTATCCCACCCCACCTATCATCAAGCAAAGACACTCAGAGACTAGCTCAGAGACCCCTGTGAGACCATGTGTCACTCAGAAATATAACATATTACAGAAAATGTTTCAAGATTTATGACCCACATCTACTTCAACTGTTCAAGGTCTCACTATGTGGTGTGAAAGGAAAAACAGGCTTTTGAGGCACTCTTGTTCAGATGGCAATCATTTGCCTCCCTCTGCTGGCTCAGTTGTGTACCTGGCAGTCTTGGAAGCGCTCCTCTCTGGTCTCACAAATTCCTCTTAAGCTGCCAGGTTTCTTCTCCAGCTCCTCAATGAAACTAGCTATCCTGTATGTGCCTGGGCCAACCTTTGTTTTCTGAACATGAAATATAAAGCACAAACAGACCACTGATTCAGAATGGCATAGAATCTCAAAATAACAGTTAACAGCACAGGGTTTGTGCTATTTGGTTTAACACATTCTGTATATTATTGGTGTCCAAAGAAAAGCAAGTCTCCAAAACATGGAGAGTCTCCAAAATGTTAAGTTTACAGGAAAGGACAAAAACGTTTTTTACTTTCAATGTAAGTTAATGTAAAGAGATTTTATTCCATGCAATGTTGGAGCATTTCTATAGGTCCCAAAATGTTTACACAATGTAAAAGCTTAAAGTCAACAAAAATGGAGGCTCGTGTTTTTTTTTGGACATTGACGATATGCTAAATATGTCTTAAAAGTATCACAAAATATGCTGTCCTTAACTTGACAAACAAATTCATTAAAGTAAATGTACAGCTCCAAAAAAGTTGGGACGCTGTGCAAAATGTAAATAAAAACAAAATGCAGTGATGTGCAAATCATTTAAACCCTGTATTTAACTGGAAGTAGTAAAAGACAACAAATCAAATGTTGAAACTGAAAAAAAATATTTTTTTTTAAATATATGTCTATTTTGAATTTTCTGCCAAAAACAAGTTGGGATAGGTGCAACAAAAGACTGGTAAAGTTGTGTAATTCTAAAAAAAAACACCTGGTAATTGATTGGCAACAGGTCAGTAACATGACTGGGTATAAAAAGAGCATCTTAGACAGTCTGAGTCTTTCAGAATTAAAGATGAGGAGGGGTTCACCACTCTGTGAAAGACTGCACAATCAAATAGTGCAACAATTCAAGAATAACATTTCTCAACATAAAATAGCAAAGAACTTCTGCTTTTCATCATCTACAGTACATAATATCATTAAAAGATTCAGAGAATCTGGAGAAATCTCTGTAAGCAAGGGACAAGACCAAAAACCAGTATTGGCTAGCTGTGATCTTTGGGCCATCAGGCGGCACTGCATTAAAAACAGGAATGATTCTGTAGAGGAAATCACTGCATGGCCTAAGGAACACTTCTGAAAACCACTGTCTGTGAAAACAGTTCATCACTGCATCCACAAATGCAATTTAATACTCTAAAACACAAAGACAAAACCAAATATAAACAGGATCCAGAAATGCTGCCACCTTCTCTGGGCCCGAGCTCATATCTCAATCCACCATGCATAGTATATTCACTGCGGATCATTGTCAACATGTTTACCACCATTATGTGCAATTATGTCAAGTGCAATATTTCTCCATTTATTTACAGTTTATTTATTTGCTATTTTATTCACTGTGCAATACTCACTACAATACATACATTTCTACATTTCTAAATTTAAATTTAATACTTTGTATATTTTTCTTATAATCTTTGTACATATACATATATATCTTTATACTTTTATTGTTTATTCTATTTAAATATTGTTTGTATATTTCCTGCTACTCTGTCTTCTGTGCTGCTGTAACACCGCAAATTTCCCCGTTGTGGGATTAATAAAGGATTATCTTATCTTATCTTATCTTATTTAAAACGGACTGAGGGGAAGAGGAAAAGTGTCCTGTGGTCCGACGAATCAACGTTTGAAATTCTTTTTGGAAATCATGGACGCTACGTCCTCCGGGCTAAAGACCACTCAGCTTGTTATCAGTGCACAGTTCAAAAGCCAGTATTCCTGATGGTATAGAGGTGTATTAGTGCACATGGCGTGACATGCACATCTGTGAAGGCACCATTAATGCTGAATGCTACATACATGTTTTGGCAATGTATGTATGCCATCCAGACGATGACTTTTTCAGGGAAGGCCTTGCTTATTTCAGCAAGACAATGCTAAACCACATTCTGGCTGTATTACAGCAGTATTGCTCCATATTTAAAAAGTCCGGCCGCTAAACTGGCCTGCCTGCAGTCCAGACCTGCCACCCACTGAAAACATTTGGCTCATTATGAAATGAAAAATACAACAAAGGAGATCCTGAACTGTTGAGCAGCTGAAATCCTATATAAAACAAGAACGGGAAAAGATTTCGCTTTCAAAACTACAGCAGTGTCTCCTCAGTTCCCAAATGCTTACAGAGTGTTGTTAGAAGAAGAGGTGATGAAACACAGTGGTGAACATGCCCTCGTCCCAACTTTTTTGAAATATGTTGTTGGCTTCAAATTCAAAATGGGCATATATTTTTCAAAAACCAATAAAATTTCTCAGTTTCAACATTTGTTGTCTTTGTACTATTTTTAATGAAATACAGGGTTTAAACGGTTTGCACATCATTGCATTTTGTTTTTATTTACATTTTGCACAGCGTCCCAACTTTTTTGGAAATGGGGTTGTACACCACTATCTTCACAGCTGTTGAATTTCTTCTTATAACAACTAGGCAACAAAAATAATTTCCATGTATTGGATCTTAATTCCAAATGTGGCATAACTTGTACATTATTATTTTTTTATAAATAACACTTACAGTTTTTGTACATATGGTAAACAAGTAGAATTATGCTGAATGTGACTCGCTAAAAGTACTCATGTGTGCTGTTGTGCTGCATGGCTGGCACTTGTCCCAGTCGTACACAAATGACCATTGATCTTTCAGGGGACCAAATGATCTTTCACTTACCAGGAACTGTTTGTTCTCCCATGCATCCCGGTACAGCAGGTGAGGCATCTGAGCCAGACGGGCCACCTCTTGTGCCCTCTTCCAGCCTGGACCCTTCGCTCGTTCCTGCACTGCCCGGGCACTGAAGTCGCCAGTGTCTGGATTATATGTGCCAGGCCCGAGGTTCCTCTCCTGATACACACACACACGTACTCAGAGCATGTACCTCTTAGTTAGCGAGAGGTCTTCCCACTGGAAACACTAACTAACTCCTTGAGTTGCACATAATTGGTATAATCTTGTAATTCCATGCACTGTAAAGAAGTGTTATCCCAAAGAAGGGGGAGCGGCATGCAGACAATGAAGAACACCTTAGATCATCTCACGCTTCACCACACAGGAGTGACTCAGGAACACAACTGGTCTGCCGATTAGACTGACTACTCGACACATACTAAACCTTCTAGTGCTAACTAATTAATTAGCTGATTCACTGCTGATGGCAACTCTTTGTAAAGTCCTCACCAGGTCACTTGTCCATCTCTTGCAGTAGGGGATCTGGGTGTATGTTCCCACCCTCTTGCTGGCAGGATGGACTCCTGACACGTCAAACCTGTAATGCAGAAATTTTCCTATGAGAGAAAAAGTGTAATAATAATAATAATATTAATAATAAGCAATTGTCTTAGTCTTACCTGGCTGACTGTGTACCAAAGGGAGCCCCTTTGAACTTCTTTTCTGCCATTTTAGGTTTTGTCCTGCCTGCAGAGATCACACAGGACAGGACCCCCCTGTGTATTTGAGAACGTTGTGTCTATGACAACATGACGTGATAAAGAATTAATACATCATCTCCTAGCAACAAAGAGTTCTGTACCTGCTGCTAGCCTTTAGCTACATTTTCACTGACTGAGCCCCTGATCTCAGGTTTCCACTCCTACAACTCACTCCAGTATTTTCACAGGCAGCTCACACTAGACATTCAAAAAAGATAAGATAAGATAGAACTTTATTCATCTCAGAGGAAATTCTTGCACCAGAGGGCGTTCAGACAAATTAAAACCTAAGAAATAGCATAAAACAATAAAGTAATAAATTCAACACCAGTGCCTAATAGAATAACAATAAAACTAAGATTAATTTAAAATTACATAAGCTAAAACAGAAAAGTAGAAAAGCAATATTCACCTGATATTAAAAGTCATATTATCAATGATATTGAAAGTAATAAATAGTACTTACTGCGCATGATATTGAAAATTAATATTGCAATGATGTTGAAAAAAGTAATATGGCACATGTTATTATTATTATTATGGTGTCCTTCCTACAGAAGGGGATTGATTTGGCTCATTTGGAGATTCATGACTCTCTTCTGATAAACAGAAGCCATGTAAGTCTATTTAGCCATGGTAAAGATCTGTTTTAGGTTTTTTGTAGTTGTAAAATTGACATTAGGATACACAGCTGAAGTCAAATCGAACACGGTTCTGTAATATTATTAAAATTATTTTCACAAGGCTTAAAGTTTTAGCCAGAACTAAATGTGTCTATTGAATTGTTTACTGCTATTGATTTAGGGTACAAACAGTTGGCTACTAGCAAAAACCATTGGAATGATTTTAGCCTTTAGAAGTTGAAGGAGGTGGTTAAAACCGTCAGAAATGATTGGTGTAAAATACCTCTAGACAGAATAATGCATTCATTTTGTGAAATATTTTTGGTCCACCAACATAACATGACATTAAAAGATATGCATTTTCTGACTGTTATTTCTGGTTTTGTTGGTAAAAGGGGATGCTCACCAACTAAAGCAAAATTAAATGCTGTAAAATGTCATTTTCTTACCCTCCAACAGCTGCTCAAACAAAATATCTAACCCCAGACTGTTTATAAGTACTTGTCCTGTCCTCCTGTTCTAACTAGGTTTATTAAAAGCTATTTAACATGCAGGTTTCCACCTCACTGCTTTACTGCTGTGTCTCTCAGAGCCCGGAACTCCGTCTTTCAGGCTCTGACCCGCCCATCGGCCTGAAGCAGCCCGGGCTGGTTGGAGCTGTGATTTTGGGCTGTAAGAGGAGCTACAGGAGCTGGAAGCAGCTACGGTGGACTGTCAGGTAGGTTCTTTCACAAAGTACGAAAAACTGTTGTATTAGTAGATGAATGCGATGTGGTAACATATGCCTTTAAGGAACAACGTCACTGTGATGTAGCTAAGAGTGCTTTTAAAACATTGTTGACGTGCCCAGCTCGCAAAGTTTCAACCTGACAGGAAGGTTTTTAGCTTGTCAGCTAACACGAGCTAACCAAGAACACTAACCCGGGTAAGTCCTCTGGCTATATTTAGTAAAATGTACGGCATGTTATCTGTCACTCTGTTCGCTATCTGTATAAATCACCACTTTACTGTGTACTTGGGTAACTTATATAGTTATAACGTTACGTTACCTTCGTTTCATTATGCGCTGAGTTTTCGGTTCTTTGAAAGGGTTAAGTGGGCTAGCTGGCTAACACACTTTTAGACAAGCAAATAACCTAACCTACCTCAGTTAATGTTTAGCTAGGCGGGTAGCTAGCATGTTTTCTTGCAAGATAACTAAGCTACAGGATTTGTTTAGCCAACTATAAATACGTTAATGTTAACGTACATTTTAAATCTCTGAGTCAAGAAGTAGCTTTTCATTAGGCAGCTCGGACTGGAGTGTAACGTCTTCGTAATGCTAACTAACGTTGCTTTTCTCTTCCTTAACCGCCTTTCCTCACTGATCTGCAGTATTAAACAACGAATTAACTGTGTTTTGTGTTACATACGAGCCAAATGTGACTTCTGAGTGGTTTGTTCTGCTGCAGTAATCTTCTCCTACCTACTATAGCTAGGTTAGCTGTGTCACTACTGGGTGAAAGGTGACTTCATCCACCTTGTCAATGCGCTTCAGGGTGTGTTGTTGTGTGATTTGTCACTGTGCAGGTTAAACATGCGACTACATCTGCTGCTGCACTGGCTAATAGCGGCTGTATGTTTCATCCGATCTGTTTGCAGGATTGGCGTGGTGTCTGTTAAGCCAACCCTGATCCTGGAGATCCACCTTTCTGCAGAGTCTAGTTCCAACCACAACCTACCACACCTGCTCCAGCTCATCAACTTCTTCAAACGTCCTTGATCGGCTGGAGCAAATACATTGCAGGTTAGAACTAAACTCTGCAGAAAAGTAGATCTTCAGGAGGCAGGTTGTGGACCATGGCTCTGTTACTACATATGTTATTGTGATTAATCATGTTCCAATATCGGTAGGCAGGATACACCCTGTACAGGTCGCCAGTCCATTGCAGGGCAGACAGACAGACATATACATCCACACACACCTAGGGGCAATTTGGCATGTCCAGTTGGCCTGACTGCATGTCTTTGGACTGTGGGAGGAAACCTATGCAGATACAGGGAGAACTTCTAAACTCCACACAGAAAGTACCCTGGTAGCCCGGTCGGGAGTCATACCCAGGCCCTTCTTGCTACGAGGCGACAGCGCTCTCCACTGCGCCACCGTGCCACGCCAACTGCATGCAAAAAAGACATATTATTGAGAGCCTTTAAATAACAATAACGCTGTATGCTAACCGTATATAGGGCATAGTAATAAGTAGCTTTAAGTAGATTAAATGTCAGTACATTATACTATTATTTTTAGTGATGCACCAATATGGGAATTGAGAGCCGATGCTGATATTTTTCATTCACATATCTGCCAATCCCCATAAATAAACTACATTTATAAAATGTAGAATTTGGAACTACATTTACCTATATTACCATTACGGAGAAAAGGTATAGCATTTATTTCTATGGGGCCACAAATGCATTAATCATTCTGCTGTTTCAGAGTACAACACATACTTCATCAGATATTGGTTAAATCTAAACATCTGGCTGATGTCAGTTTTTTTTTTTTCAAGAACTCATCTGGTGATACCTTTATGATTTCAATGTTATTGTATATCCCTAATTATCTTAACAATGAATTTTTATTGTTTGACTTTTTTTTTCTCCTGTTCTTTTTTTTATTGTTCCAATTTGTTCACACGACTCTGAAGAACAGTATATTGTGCTTGAAGTGTCATGATTTTATAATTTTGAAGTTTTGCCCACCTTCACTTTCTGTCACACCTCTGAAGTGACTTCAGGTCAGGAAAGAAACTGGCGTCAGAGGACAGTGCTAAGGAGATTGGATGGTCTGGCCTGAACATGTCCACAGACAGAGAGCCATGTGTCACTGCTAAACTCCTTCACCTCATCTTCCTCTCCACCTTTTGGGGCATGCAGATATGGGTCACCTTCATCTCTGGTTAGAGCCTTATTCCATGTTCAATGTGTTCCAATAACTCTGAGATACAAGGTGAATTTTTGTCATGTAAACCAGCTTTGGTATGATGTGAACGCCATATTTTCTGCAAATGTCAATACGTTACTTTTTTTCAGTAAACAGTAACAGCATAACAGTGAGGTCTTAAATCAGATTTTTTTTTTTAGGCTTTGTGATGGACAACCATCTAAACAGGCACACATACGGCTTTATTCAGAGTCGACTGTTCCCCTTCTACCTTCACATTGGCTCAGCCTGTGCCTTCTTCAACCTTACCATTTTTGCCATGTACCATCCCAGTGACCTGCTGAATGACAAAGAGGCCTTTCAGGTATGCAAGACAGAGGTTCTTCTATGAGACTAATAGCTCTTAATTGTGTATAAGACTATAGGCAGTGTGAAGTATGATATACTCAATAAGGAGTATGATATAATTGTAGGCAATCTCACCATACTTAAATGAAATGTAATCTTCATAGTACAATAGATAATGTGAAATATCCCAATGTGACAGGCAATATACATTTTATTATCTCATTACAGTCACATTAATTGTATGAGTGTAGTGTCAACCTGTTTGTCCCAGAATGATCTTTGAGCTAAATTTCATCTGCCTTGCTTAGATGTGCAGTGCATTGGTGCATTGATATATAGAAAGTGTGTAATGACAACCTAATAAAGTTATCAGAATATCTGACAGTTGATTGTTAATTATGTAATTTTAACATTGATGAAGCATAAATTAGAGAGTTGTAGGCAGTGCTTAGTCTTGCAGGGATATGCATTAAATTCAATAAAGTGCATACTGTAATTAAGATAACTGCTAATACAATGATATGCAAATGTTCAGACAACCTTGATGAAATATTTTGTTCATTTTCTAAATGAAAATAAGGAACAAATCCTCTACAGGAAACAAACTGAAATTATTTTAGAGCACAATTTCTATTTCTTTGCTGAATTAAACATTGAAAAAAAAATGTTAAATGTGCTATAACCAGGCCACATTTTATGTTTAATTTTCCCAATATGTTAAATTCAACAAATAAGCAGTAATTGTCCATTGGATTATGCAGAAGTGTATGGTGCGTATTTTCACTTAGAAAATCAACAAAACATGCAATTTAACCAAGGACACTCAAACTTTTGCACACTGTTGTGCATGTGCTGTATACTGCAGCTACCTTCTGTACTTCTGGAACTGTACCATGAAGTAGCTTTTAATTAGATATCATCTCAGTGGACAGAATTGTCCAAAGTATTAAGATTGTGCCTATTTATTATTTGAAAACAAAACTGTCTTATCCAAATAAGTTTGCTGATTGATAAATAGTGCAGTAGTTCTTCATGGTTTAATGTTTGTAACTCTTTCTATCCCTCCTCCTGTGTTCTCCCTTATCGCTGTGCAGATCTTCATTTTCTTTGTATGTGTGACTGTGGCAGCGGTAAATGCCCAGTGGTTTGGCCAGCTGACTTCTGAGATCATGGCAGACATGCACATGATTGAGCAGGCCTGTGGGCTGGGCCAGGACATCGGGCTGTCATCCAACCGGGAGGCCTACTCTAAACTGTGTGACACAGACCCCAAGTACAAGCGACTGAGCAAACGGCTATGGCTTTACCACATGCTGTCGTCCCTCTGTAACCTGTGCTGTATTGTGTGTAATGGCTACAGCCTTTATTACCTGGCAGAGAACCTCAGTACACTGTGATATCTCGATAGCTGACCCCTTGCCAGGGTTACATGCCCAATGCAATGCAACACAACACAAAGCCGTCAATGTATACAAACTTTTTGAGCAAAAATATGCTCAGGTACTGTCTGTTAACCCTGTCTGCTCTAATCTCTTACTGCTAGTTCTTTGTTTTTGTGCTATTTGTGTGGCATCATAATATTTAGTGTATCTTTAATATATGTAGATAAAATAGACACTTAGGCTGGCTTTACAGCGTGAAACTTTTAACAAACTGTACCTGCTTGAAACTTACATGAAACTAAAATGCACTTGAGTTGCGTAATGTAAATCATCCTGCAACTCACTTGAAGCTCAGCCTCAGCAGTTCCAACCGTCTCAGTTTCGTGAAGCAAGTTTCAGAAAACAGCAGCATGTGATCACATCAGACGACATGATTTCAAATGATTTTCACTGGATCAACAGACAGGAAAATAAATCAGAAGATGGTTTATTGTATGGTTGAAAGAGATACTCTTGACTGACTTTAAGCAAGATTAGTAGTTTTTCATTCTGTCAGTTTTGCGAGTCATGACAACAACTGTGAGTTTCTTGAAGCTAATGTTTTCTAACTAGCTGTGTTAACTAGCCAGCTAACAGTAACAGTTGTTTAAGGTGCTGCTTTCACCAGCATTTATTCCTCTTAGTTATCTGCTATTGTCATGATTTATATAGCTAGATAATTTTCTCCTCTCTTGATTTCCCCCTAATTTTACAGAGCTCTGATTCATTTGGGGTCTAAAGGATGAACATTTTTACAGAACAGAAAAACAGAAAAAGTTGCAGCCCTTGGTGAGTTTCTTGTGCTTCTAGAACAGAACAAGTGAGACATCAAGTAGGCTATAACTGTAATGGCTATTTAGACATTAATTAAGGCTTAAATTACACTCAAAACAACAAATACATAGCAAAGAACCCCAGATAGATAGGTAAATATAAATATATACAGGGAAAACATCAGTGACAGCCAACAATATATATGAAGATGATACTGATACTGAAATGCTGCAAATAGTGCAAAGGATGTGGTGTATCAATAAAACATACAAGCTGCTAGTTTGGATAACTAGTGGAGAATTGAAATGTGTTGTGTGCAGAAATTATGCTGCAGGTAGCTCTCAACATGCAGTTAGTTGCATATAAGCTTCACCATGTAAAGCCAGCCTTGTTAAGAGATGAACTGCCCTGTTTGTGGAAAATTAGTCATCAGAAGAAAAAAACTACATCACAGGGTTTATTACAACTAAAGATATGACAAATATTACGATATAATGATAAAAGTAGTAGATCATTCTAAGCATTTTTTGTATAATGGATTGATCATGTGTTAATTTTACTTTCTGAAACCGCAAAATGAAATGAAGTCCAGTATGTTAGTCAGCCCCTCGTAGTTCAGACACTAATGTCTAATGTCCATTTTTGTATATTCTGTTGGTAATAACACACAGTCGCTAGGTGCTATAAATTTCCATGTGAATTCAGATGAAGTTTAGAAGTTGCCTATGACCAGTTTATGCATCAGTTAATATATGGCTTTGGTTCAAAGCCATAAAGCAGCTATTCCCTGGAGCTGGTATCTCAGGGTTGAGGACAGTACTGAATTGTGCTGCCTTATTCTGCTAACCTCCATCTGAGTGCCTTCCTCACAAAGTGAATCTCTCACTTTCTCACTGAAGTGGAGAGCATGCCCTTTTGAGCTGAGATTTGTTGGCTTTTGTGCATAAGTGCCTCATTCACAACAGGATTTTTTGGTTGTGACAGATTGTTAAGTGCCTTTTCCCAGCTTTGTATCTTTGTTTCCTCTGAATCTGGTTGTACAGGTTCTTCAAGCTGTGCTAACTGCCAGTAGCTGTTCTTTGCACACCCACACCAGCAATGCAACACAGGGTGACAGTACATTTGTGGCTTTGGCTGTATTTTTTTGAAGTTGAGTTAGTTAGTTAGCTAGCTAGAACACTGATTGGCATAGTACAGCCATTGAATTGTTGTTGGTGTTAATTTTGCTTAAGATATGTAACTGTAGTTCTGTGTAGTGAAATGATGCACCGTGCAGCCATGAGTAATGTTACGCTGTTTAAGACTGTATAGTATAATGCAGAAAAAGTTCCTTCGCAATGATGCTGGTGAGGCTTTGAGTGTGTCCCGATTTAGGGTCATCAACATTGTCAAGGCAAAAATGAGCTGGCAGCTATTGAAAGATGTTTCCATGTTGGTAACTTAAATGCCTGATATGGATAGAAGTGAATGAATCAGATGTTATTTAAGCCCTTTTAACACTTGTGAACACACTATTCATATCCAGTATGAATTCTGCTCAGTAGAATGAGGCATAGTATTGGTGATGTTGGTATAGAGGTTTTTTTATGGTGTTGGAAAGTTAAATCATTGTGTTAAGCGGTGAACAGAGATTAAATCATTACCTTTTGCAGTTTCTGATATTAAGTGTTGCACCCACATCACACTGTTCATTCAAAAATGGAGGATGTCATTCTGACATCTGGTCAGCTATTTATTCATAATTATGGTGCCTGTAATATTGACGCAAGAAGTTACTTTGTCCCTGTCTTTTTCTAATTGAAATAAAAATAAAAAGGCTGGTACTAAATGATTATGTTCTTTATGTGCTTTGTTCTGTATGTGTTTAGGTCACATATATAAAATTTTCAATTACTTAATGAGAAGCAGGGTCACTCTTAGACTTCAGAACAGTTTCAGTTGTTTTTTAAATACTGTTGTTTCCTGAGTTGTTTTTAGAGGGATTCACACTAATACTGGAGAAAGTACAGTTTCTGCTAGGCAGCTGGCAACAGCACTGTGGCAGGTGCAGTTGTGGCTGTCACAACCTGCCTCTGAAACTAACCCACCATCTGTACACTCAGCTAGACTGAGGGTCCTTTAAAGAACAAAAACACAATCGGATAGAAATGACTGGAATTATGAAGTAGATGTATAATAATAATAATATGAAAATGAATCCACTTAAAGAATGTTCGTACAAATAGTTTCATGCATGACTCTTTCATATAGTTTCCACAACTACTGGTGTTCATGAAGAAGCATATGCAGGAAGACTTGGGCACTGTGCAATGCATTTTTATACCTGGAAATGTGTGTGTAAGCAATAACTTAACAGTTGTCATTAATTTTCAAATCTTACAAACCTTCTTTGGAAAAGAGGATACAGCCTTTAATTTGCTCCAGTCATCTGAATAAATGCTTTGTACAATGAGTGCAAGAAACTTCATTACATTTCATTAAAGGCTTTCATTCCATATATTCATATTACCCACAGAGGCAGTTTAGATAACACACACTAAAAATGGGAACACTGGTCATTATGTGCAAAAGTAATCAAAGTTCTGGGAGTTCATATTGTGTATACTTAAAGGTCACAACTAGTGCACTACTCCTAGATGTTAAGGAATACATATTTAGCAGTAATGCAGATTAAACAAATATAATGCACCCTTACTTTAGCATCAGCTATTTCTTATGTTGAGATGGAGGACAACGGCAGTCTTGGAGGACGCCCCAGTGACAATCTAGGAATAGAATTCATCCAGCAGAATCTCAAAGGTGAATCAGGATTAGGGTTCTGAAGCAGGCTTAGATGTGGACCCAAAGCCAAATAGGGACTCAGATTCAGCAGAAGGTTTAAATGCAGATCCAGAGCTGAATAGGGCCTGGGGTTCAGCAGCAGGTTTAGACAGGGACAAAGAGCCAAAAGGGGACTCAGATTGGGCAGCAGGTTTAAACACAGATCCAGAGCCAAATAGGGCCTGGGGTCCAACAGCAGGTTTAGACAGGGACAAAGAGCCAAATGGGGACTGAGATTCGGCATCAGATTTAGACGCAGATCCAGAGCTGAATGGGACCTAGTGTTCAGCAGCTGGTTTAGACAGGGACAAAGAGCCAAATGGGGACTCAGATTGGGCAGCAGGTTTAAACACAGATCCAGAGCCAAATAGGGCCTGGGGTCCAACAGCAGGTTTAGACAGGGACAAAGAGCCAAATGGGGACTGAGATTCAGCAGCAGGTTTAAACACGGATCCAGAGCTGAATAAGGCCTGGGGTCCAACAGCAGGTTTAGACAGAGACAAAGAGCCGAATGGGGACTGACTTTCGACATCAGATTTAGATGCAGATCCAAAGCTGAATGGGACCTGATGTTCAGCAGCTGGTTTAGACAGGGACAAAGAGCCAAATGGGGACTCAGATTGGGCAGCAGGTTTAAACACAGATCCAGAGCCAAATAGGGCCTGGGGTCCAACAGCAGGTTTAGACAGGGACAAAGAGCCAAATGGGGACTGAGATTCAGCAGCAGGTTTAAACACGGATCCAGAGCTGAATAAGGCCTGGGGTCCAACAGCAGGTTTAGACAGGGACAAAGAGCCAAATGGGGACTCAGATTGGGCAGCAGGTTTAAACACAGATCCAGAGCCAAATAGGGCCTGGGGTCCAACAGCAGGTTTAGACAGGGACAAAGAGCCAAATGGGGACTGAGATTTGGCATCAGATTTAAACACAGATCCAGAGCCGAATAGGGCCTGGGGTCCAACAGCAGGTTTAGCATCAGATTTAGACGTAGATCCAAAGCTGAATGGGACCTGGTGTTCAGCAGCAGGTTTAGACAGGACCAAAGAGCCAAAAGGGGACTGAGATTTGGCAGCAGGCTTAGACATGGACGCAGAGCCAAATGGGAACTGGAGTTTAGCAGCAGGTTTAGACATGGAGCCAGAGTTAAACTTGGGCTCAGGTAAACTGCTTTGCTCAGGTTGTTGGTCAGAGGGGGGGCACCGAGATGCTATTTCCTGACCTTTCAATTGAGAGGATGAATCAGGATGCTGCTTGATACTGTTAACTTGCTCTTTGAGTTTGTAGACAGATATTTTAATATCTTCACATGATTGTAGCATATTAATCTTAATTCTGGAAAAGTCTTCAGTGAGGTTGAGACCTTGGTAAGACTGGAAAATCTACAGTGGGAAAGAGAGAAATGTACAATATAAATTCAAGAGGAAAAACAGCACAGTAATTGAACTGCTTCTGGGTAACCAAACAGCCACGCATGTTACCTGTAAATAACGGAAGTCGTCTTCGGTCTGTGATAGTTGCTGTAGCTCATCATCTTTCCTCTTGAGATCAACAATCTCCTGCTTGACTTGCTTCAGGTGCTTTTCAGCTCGACTTAATTCAGCTTTCTCCTGAGCTCTGATCACCTCTGTCATCTCAGAACACTTTCTCTCGATGGACTGAATTAGCTCACGAAACATTCTCTCAGTATCTCCCACTGCTGTCTGTGCAGAATGCTAATGACAAAGGGGTAAAATGAGGACTGTTTAGCTTTTACCAAAACTTTAATAAACATTCTCACAAAGGTCTTGCAGTCACCTTAAGAGACGCTACAGATTCTGTCAGCTCCTGGTGTTCATCCTCTTTCTCCTGGATTCTCTTTTTGTAGCCATTCTGGGTCACCGTCAACTGTCTCTGTGAATAAAAGAGATGACCACCATATGAAATATTTGCACTGAATTTAGAATAACTGAACACTTCTTTCTTCAGTTCTCTTAAAAATCATAGTAGATATCAGAAATCATAATTGGAACCATCAGAGAAATTTTGTGTAAATAAAATAGCCTGATGTAGTGTTGAAGTTTCAAAACAGCCCATTTGGAATCAACTGTATTTTTTATGTCATGAAAACCAACACATACACTATATGGCCAAAAGTACATGGACACCCCTCCAAATTATTAAATTCAGGTGTTTCAACCACACTCGTTGCTAACAGGTGTGTAAAATCAAGCACGTAGCCATGCATTTTCAATATACGAACATTGGCAGTAGTATGGAAAACACTCCAAATGGAAAAGCTCAGTTACTTTAAATGTGACATTGTCAGCTTGTGAAATTTCCATCCTGCTAGATCTGCCCTGGTAAACTATAAGTGTTATTACTGTGAAATGGAAGCATCTATGGGCAACAACAGCTCAGTCATGAAGTGGTAGACCACGCAAACTCACAGAGCGGGGCTGCCGAATGCTGTAGCCTATAGTGTGTCACTACAGACTTCCAGACTGACACTGGAAGCAACATCAGCACAAGATCAATGTACAGGAGCTTCATGAAATAGGCTGGGTTTCCATGGCCCAGCAGCTGCACACAGGCCTAACATCACTATGCGCAATGCCAGGTGTCACCTGGAGTGGTGTACTATGGTCCATATTAATACCCATGGTTTTGAAACAGGATGTCCAACATACATAGGTGTCCACATACTTTTTAGTATATAATCACACTGCAGCACTTTTGCTCTGCCCATTTACTCTGTTATATGGAGTGTTTTGCTGAAACAAAAACAGCCTGTTTAATTCCAAAGGATATAGGGTCTGAAAGTAGTTATGTAAAAATGAATTGTTTTTGGTACATAAAGCCTCAAAAAACATGCCATAAATGGACCTCAGGAGAAAAAATAAAATACAAAAATAAAAAATGCAGGCCATGGGGCCCTTAAGGATTATTTTTGGTGTACCAAAACTTAAACTGAAATAAACCTGTCCTGAAAAGAAGCTAATGAAGAGTTCAGACATTTTTAAAAGGTATAACTCATGGTTATGAAGGTCTAAAAGGACTTTTACCCATATCAGCTAGCATATAAACACATGTAGGTACGTGTCATTTGAGGCACTTGCCTGTTTCTCTGCTCTCTCATCTACAATGGAAACTACTTCATGGCCACAGTGTTCGTCCAACACGCACAGACAGCAAACACATTTCTGATCTGTACGGCAGAAAACGTCCAGAAGCTTTCCGTGCTGTGGGCAGATTTTCTCATGTAGGTGTGCAGAGGGTTCAATTACTGTGTGCATCTTCAGAGGAGCATATTCATTATGAGGTTTAAAGTGAGCTTCACAGTAGGAAACCAGGCACACCACACAGGACTTTACAGCTTTATGTTTTCTTCCAGGGCAGATGTCACACTCCACATCTCCAGGTGTAGCATAACCTTGAGCAGTAGGTTGTGGCCCAGCCTGTCTCAGTTTCTCCACCAATTCAGCTAGCATGTGGTTCCTACGTAGAGCAGGCCTTGGATAGAAAGTTTCTCTGCACTGGGGACAGCTGGAGGTTCCTATTTGCTGATCCCAGCAACCATTAATACAGTCAATACAAAAACTGTGTCCACAGGATAAAGTGGCTGGAGCCTTGAGTAATTCCAAGCAGACAGAACAGCAGAATTCATCCTGTCCCACTAAAATACTTGCCTCAGCCATTTTTGTAAGCCAAACAAGTAGAGCTACACACAGAACAACAGCTGTAGAAGTGCAGAATTCAGTTTCATTTCTTCAGTAATGCAAACAGCCAACCTATTGACTCAGCCCACTTCCTGATTAAAGGAGAACTGGCTTCAGAGCATAAAGGTACAACCATTCTGCTCAGAAATGGGATTAAAAAGGAAACCTTTCACAGGCTTGTGCTTGAGACCAGCTGATTGTCCCTCTAGGAGGCCAAAGATGCATGCAAAATTTTATAGATACATATATTTCCAAAAGTTTGTAGACATGTGTTCACCCAATGTCTCTTCTGAAATCAAGAGTATTAATAGGGAGATTGTCCCCCTTTGCTGCAGTAACAGCCTCTACCCTTCTGGGAAGGCTTTACACTACATGTTGGAACATTGCTGTGAGGATTTGATTACATTTAGCCATGAGTTAGGGAGGTATGCTGGATGATCAGTTCTGGATCAAAAACACCACACCAGTTCATCCCAAAGGTATTAGATGGTGCTTTACCACTCCAGCTTTACTGCTGCACAGCCCAATGCTGGGGGCTTTATACCTCTCTAGCCCACACTTGGCACCGGGTGTGGTAACCTTATGCTCGTGTGCAGCTTTTCTACAAAGATTATACAACATTTGTGCACATGCACACCTGTGTTCAATTCACTAATACTTTAGACATAATACTTTATGCTATTTTCTTTAAAGTGGGGATTTTGACATGTCCATGGTGCTGCATGGTTAAGTTGAATGACTGTTTGTTTATTTAGTTATTTATTTTCATTTTAAAATTTTCTTCAAGTTTTACATTTATTTCACTTCAAATTTCTTACATTGTCTTCATACTCAGCTGAGGTCAAACCTAAGATGTCCACCCTGCCGATGTCAAATGTTAATTAAAATAATTTTAGAATATCAAAATATATCTTTGAAACAAAACAAGGTCATCTTGGACATTTCAATGTACCTGCAACTGCAGGTCAACCAGGCATTCATCAAATGCTATCTTTAGCTAACAATATCCACCCTGTGTGGATCACTGTCATCACTTACTCACCCAAAGCCACTCTCCACTCTCAAATATAAGCTTAGGTATTTATTACAGACACATGTTTGTGGCCAGCCTGTCATGTCCTTGTCCACCTCATCATCTTCATGTTTTATTAAAACTAATCAGTAATTCTTCCCCAGGAAACAAACCATTGTAATTTGTGTATTACACATAACATAATAATTTTATTCCAATTTTTGTAATAAAGATGTTTACTCTTACTATTGTTTTGGGGGGAGTGAGATGTCTGATGTGGATACAGTGGAGGAAGAAACAACAAAATCCATAACTCTAAAATATTTTGAGGGGCCACAATATCTCTCTAAGAATGACTATAATTTAAAATACTTTAGTTACATAATTTATATGTGTTGCATTTTTCCGTGGCAGAGTGGACGCAACTTGTGGTTGCGTTATTGCCATGGCAAAATAAAAATTGTTTAACCTTTTCAATTCCTTGAGACCACTGGTGGTTCCAAAATGCACTTTGTCATATTCTTCATAACTTTCATATTTCATAAGCTACATCCACCTTTTGTGTGGGTGTCATATGAGAGCTGTAACTGTCTTCTTTCCAGTCAGGTAGATGGGTAATGTAATTTTAAACCCTTATAATAAAAGAAGCTGAACTCACAATTTTTTTTGTCTACTGAAAGTTGAGCCATTTTTCAAATCTGGGCTATAAACTATGAACAGATGGTGTCTCTTCAGTGATGCTCTGTACAAATTATTTTTATAAAAAATTACAAGGAGCTTCTAAGATTTTTGGCTTTCAGCAGTAAATTGTAAGCATATAGCAATATGTGTATGATCATAAAACACATGTTCTGTTAATTTGACGGGAGTTTTTACAATAAATAAATAAATAAATAAAATAAAAATCTACATTTATTTCATGCAGTTACTGAATAATTTGCCTTACGATATAGTCATGTAAATTCAGATGGAAAAACCAAAATATACCCTGGAAAATAAGAGGTTAAGCTTGACACAGATGTTTTCTGTAGTCTATAATCGTTTAACTATGATGAATACTCAAAGGAATTAAAACTCTTAAGTCGTTTTTTAAAGATATGAGGTCCCAAAGGCACCGTATACTGATAATGACCCTAAAATAAGACATTAGTTGTTGCTGAATGTCTATACCAACAGAAAGAAGACATATTGACATATTTCACCTCATAAAAATGTCCATTCATTGTCCGGTGATCAGCTGGTCTCTCTGGTAGGACGGCAGTGGCGTGGACTCTCCACTAGAGGCTCCATCATTTCAAAGCGCCAGTTTCGGGCTTGTTTTGATCTGTTGTGTTTACATCTATGGCGGGGAGCCTTTTCACCGATCAAAGCTGAAATAAGAAGTAGCTGTTTCCATTTCGACCAGCATGTCGTTCATGTTTCGTGAACGAGGGATTGTATAAGACAGCGAAGATGGTAAGAACCGAGAATATATCTGACATATTTTTCAGACCGGTCGACCTGTTATGTAGCGACATATTTGAGGTATTCGCTGTGGATCTCAGTGACGAATCAGCGATTTTTGTTAGAGTGACTAATAAGTTATATTTATTACAGACCCAGGCGCTGCTTTTTACAAGGTGAGAAGCTGTTTGTCAGTTAGGAACAGGTGAGTTTAGTTTTCATTAATGCTGAGGGCTATAAAACATACTGAGGAACAGTAAAAGACTCAGCTAGAGTAAGAAAACTACTTTAAATGCACATTTACTTCAAGGTAAAACTCCTAATTCTACAGACTGGTAGTCACTGAGCGTGTAGTCCTTAACGTAACCTAGAGCTTTTAAAGCAGTAGCTTATGTCTTAAGAGGTGGTGGGCTATGACAGCTCTTCCTCACGTCCACAAAATATTGCCTCCCACCGCATTTGATTAAAGGGGATAACTAATTAAATAGGCCAGTTTTAAGTCAATAGCCCTTTAAATGAAGAAGAAGCTCGTACAGAAAAATATGATGTGAAGTATAACCTACAAATGTAGGAAAAAATGTACTTTAGTATTTGGAATACTTTGGAATAACACAATCAATATGAAATGTATCATACATCTAAAAATACATGCCCATGTATTTCTGTGTGGGATGGCAGAGCTGGGCAATATGACAGTATATATCATTATAATAAACTGGATCACTATAGAATACAGTATGCTTTTCACATATGGTGTATATCATCAGTACATGTAGAGCACTGACCACCTGCCACCTGATTCATTACAGAGAGAGCAAAATTAGTCTTGTTTCACTAGATTTAGTGCAACACAGCATGCAAAATATTGAATAAAAATCATTGTATTGTAAGTTTTTGATAGTATGTTTTAAAGTGTAGCGCTGCTAGTTCTTTTTTTTCTCAGTTCCAACTGATCAGATGTGACAGTATGTATCATGAAAATTTCTTTAAGTATCACAATATATTTTTGCCATAATGCCCACTTCTACGGGATGGAACCGAGATAAGAGCAAAAAGCTTTTTTTGCGTTTACTTTTTCTATACTTATTTATACTTTAATTTAATAATTTAATAATTCAATTTAATAAATTAATAATTCAATAATTTAAGCTTACCTTTTGAGGTTAGTTTTGATTTTTTTGACAATAGTTCTTTGGAACCTGGTGTTTTATTGTAATAGCAGAATCTCTCAGTTTTTTAGAAGTGCAACAATATAGTCAGCTCATGATTTGATTTACAATTCTGTATTGATTCATGATATTATGAAGAAAAAATTGAATAAGGAAGAATTATGGTTACAATCATATTACACAAAATACTAATGACACTAAGGTCAGGAAGTAGGAGGAACGCTGTTGATTGGTGCTGATCGTTGGCGAACTTGTTCAAGCTTTCTTCAAACAACACAGTTGCATTAGATTGCGTAATTGATAGAACGTCACTCTGCACTATGCATTGTCACAGTTCTGCATTGGGATATCATGATGCATTGTTACACCCCTAGTTTGTTTAATATAAAACATTTAAAAAATCTGCAATGATGCTGGACCAGGAATGAATGAATAAGCTCTGCAATTAATTTTTGCAAAAAAATACGTTTATGCTACTCATTTGTGAATAGGCTTTTTTTCGAAGTTTGAAAAGCTCTTGACAGCTGGATCATGTGATGTCATCTGATGCTCACAGATCACAAAAAGACCTATTCACAGAACAAGGAACAAGGAAGGGAAGAGTTCTTCCTAATGTTTTCTGTGTATTTTGGGTGTGTCTGTGTTTGTAGCTGTGAGGGTGACCCTTGACCCCTAATGATCGTGTGGAAGGTGACCCGCTGGGCACTGACCTCTCCCCTGTGTGTCGGTGTAAGAATCACATGTAGGGTACCTGAGATGGCCAGACCAAGTTCAAGTAAGACATCCAAATACGTGAACACACATGCCTCACACTCTAGTCCATTATATTATTGTCAGTAGGTTGTCAACAGTTGTTTCAGATTTCCACATTTCCTGAATAATGTTGTTGTTTTCATGTGTGCTTGTTTGGGCAGATTTGGCAGAGTTTCGTAAAGAATTTGCCAAGGCCAAGCACATAGCATTTATCACTGGAGCTGGAGTGAGTGCAGAAAGCGGCGTGCCAACCTTCAGAGGAGCTGGAGGTTACTGGAGGACATGGCAGGCCCAGGTAACAAATGGTACACACATTGTATTTGTATGTTTTTGACCTGTATTTATTGTACCTGCACTCACAAACAACTGTATCTTTTAATATCTTCTTAGGATTTGGCCACTCCTGGTGCCTTCTCCCGTGACCCTTCTCTGGTGTGGGAGTTTTATCACTATAGACGAGAGGTAGGTGATTGCAGTGGATGTTGTGGCATCTTGTAATGTTCACAATGACATTTATTTGTATATAATGTATTGTAATACACTCACTGATGCATGCCAATAATTGCGCTTGATTGATGGCACGAATAGAAAGATATCTGACAAGTCTTAAAAGTACACAGTTTTATAGGGGTCTTTTTAAGACTCTTACATGTTGCTTTAATGGTATTGCGTGATACCATGTGCTAATGGATTTCTTTTTA